ATTGTTGCACATGTTTAATATGCTGTAACAGTGTTTTTCTATGGCATTTTATGGTAAATATCTAACCAGAAATACAGAGGTACAATGTTTTTTGGGGGGGAAATTCTTTATTTCATTTCAGCTGCTCTGTCTGCATTGTTACAGTTTCATTTTACTGCTACTTGCCTCAAGCAGTGTGGGTGGGGGATGGTCTTTTTGTGTCTAAAATTTGTCACCACAGCCCAGGAAGACCCCTAAAGGTTACTTAATTTAAGATACTGAATTAACCGTGAGTTTAACATGAAATTCTCTCTGAAAAAATAATCAACCAAGAGGCACTGTATGTATGTTTCTTTTTCACCAGGTCTAAACATGCAGCTACTGTTATGCACAGCAAATCAATGTGCCCTCTTTCTCTGTTTCTGTCATTCTGTTTCAAGTGTTATGATTGTACACATCAAGGTCTAGTTTAAGCTCAAAGCTCTCTAAAATTAGCTTTTCTGTGACTCATCTGTGAAACCATCCCATAAAGGTTGCATGATTCTCAACATCTGTAACTGCTATCAAGGTCTGTTGACTGTAATGGAGGCCCTCAACCACCGTGACCCAAATGCTGTTTTTTTAAATGTTTTTTTTTACATGCTGTAAGTCCAAATACTTTCAGTTGTTTAAATGAGGTTGAATAAATCAGGTACTTTGAATGATATGTTCATGGTTTGCAAAGAAAAGATTTTAGAGTTATTGATTGATTTGTTATTGTTGTGATGTTTACAAGCTTGTGATAAAAAAAAATCATGGTGTAGCGACAGTCGTGTGAAAAAGGAGAACCCCCTCTTCAATCAGTTTAATGTATAAACATGTATGAATAGATAACAATAATGATCATTTGTTTGTGCTGACACTATCAGTTCACAGAGAAAATCTTTTTTAGATAAATCAAGTAGGTTGATTTCCTCTCAGACTCCTACATGATCATCATCAACTGTATTGTGTCTGCTAGTAAATAAGACATATTTAGGGCACTGTATTTGTGTGTGTATATGCATACGTGAGCATATATATATAAACAATGCTCATATAACCATAGTATGTACATATATATATTACTATAGATACTATGTTTATATGAGCATTGTTATTCATATTGTTGCCCATGGAAATGTATTTATACTCATCAATGTTTTTTTCTACAATACCAACTTCGCCATGCGTACATTCCATTCTGACCTTGTGTTTTAAACTCCTAACTGGAGTAGAAAAGCCAAATGACTGAACTGAAAATGTTTGATCTGATTTCTGGTCTTTTTGCCTGTGTCTCCAATGTGAAAATTCATCAAATTCCCATACAGCGCGGTGCAAGGACAGGGTTCAGGTGTAAACAGATTTATACAACTGGCTGTTCTTCACAACTGTGAAGGGAGACAATAATTAAAACATTGGGCCGCCCAGCTTCTTCAACAATGCAGCTGACGCAAAGATATCGTCAAAAATAACATTTCAGCTTTCATTTAGCTCATGACCAAATATCTGTATAATGTAGCATAGATAGCACATCAAGCTATAAGCTTGTATGCTAACACAAACGTAGCAAACAAACGGACAAACAGGGTGCAAGAATTCACAGGTGTTTGGATTATGTTCCTCTACTGAACTCAGCTAGCGCTTTTTGTTTTTGTTCATGTTAATGGAACAAATCTAAATGTTTTCGCTCATTATGTACTCTGACATACAAGGATTAGCATTTATCTTAAAACATCTGCCTCACTATGTGACTACATGTAACTTCATTGTTTTTTTTAACAGAATGGTCTACAGCAAAAACAGCAAATTAGATTAACAACAATACTCTATCACACGATAGCGATCTAGCTCAAAGCTAATCATAATTATCACCAAAAATGTGTACGGAAATATGATTAACGTCCAAATATTTGAAAAAACTGATTTGTGTCCATGCAACAGAAAAGAAAGAAAAAAAGACACTGTGCACAGTCCTATACAACACCAGTCTCCATTTTACTAACAGCCCATTTCACATTAGCACACTGGAAGCGTTGGGGTGATTTAAAAGCTTATTTGAAGATGAATTTGAGCCTTTTCCGTGTTTTGCTTTTTAATTTTTGTAGAGCTGTTTTGGCTGTGGTTTTGTTTATGTTCGGATTATGGATTAGGACTTACATTGTTGGTTCATGTCTGCTTTTGGATAATTGACAAGGTCTCCTTTTTAAATATAACATGTGAGTGAAAAAGAAAGAATGTGAGCACATTTCATCTGCATGCTATGACATCATGGGTCTTTTCAAAGTGCATACATAAACAGCCTCATTAACATTTAAAATGCAGGGAATGTGTAATTCCAGTTCTTTGGCTCTTTTTTCACAATTGCACAAACTGTAACAGTTAGAAAAGTTCCGTAACAGCTTTTTAAGCTGTATAACTATTGATAAGCATACTGTGGGCTTATTCTTTGAATTTGTGCACAATTTGATTTAGCTAAAAATGAAAACCCTGATTGCATAAAGGTAATTCTTATGTATTATTCATTTCTACCTCTTTTCATTTATACTGACAGTTGGCTTTTGTTGTATACAATTAAAAAGCCAGTCTATGCTCTGGATAAAAGGCAGCTTGGCGCAATAATGCTATGATTTAATATGTTTTTACATTTATCCCCATGCTCGTGTTTTGTGCTTCATATCTTTTATTTTACATATAAATGAATTGTAATGATATCATATGAAATATTAAATGTATTCATGCTGTCTTGAAATGAATACGTAGACTATAGAAATAGTAGATATGTGGAAAATGAAAAAGCAACATTAAACAAAAAGAAGACTTCAGGTGAATCTGAAAGGTTTGGTGATTTGCATCATCCCTGTTGCTTTTTCATTAGTATCTATTTGCCCATAAAGACTTTTGAAGACAAATGTTGAAATGCTGCAACGTGGTCTCTGAGCCTGTCACGGAGGAAGTAATTTTTCTGTGGCACCATTGCTTTCAGATGTGGTCAAATGGCGTGGTCTCCTGTTGAAAAAAAGAACATGCGTTTTTTTGAAAATGAAGTGTTTTGAGAGAAATGAGTTGTGGAGGGAGAGTCCCTTAATGGAGACAAGTAATATAAACTCAGAGACAGAAAGCAGTGTGGGAGACAAAAAGCAGTTTCATAAAGTTTGAATTTTTCCATCAGCAGAGACCACCAAATGCACAGTTGACAAACGGCCAGTCAAATATCATGTTCACGTTCAGTGCACCATGGAACTCAAACCAAACCTAATGGCACACTGAAATTGGTTGTATTAAAATGGTTTGCTTACTTTATGCACATCTGACTGAAATCGCTATTCGAAGTAATAAGTAATGTTAACATACATCTATAGTTTGGAATATATTTTGAAATACATCTCCCCAAAAAATATCTCAAAGTATAAACAACCTACTTTTGACCAATCTGATCAAGAGAATTTCAGGTATTTTCAAACCTTTAAGAACATCCTCTAAAGTAATAATGAGAGTGAGAAATGCAGTGCATTTAAGTGAAAACCATGATTAATTATGTATGATTAGAGGACTCTTAAAAGCTTTGGGGAGGGAAGAGAAAGAAACTACATAAACAGAACATGAAGTCCAGAATGGCTGGATGGATACCAGATGTGAAATTGTAAATGAACCTTAAGTACACAGGTGACTGCAGAATGATGAGAGGTATTGCTTCTGCATGGGTGGACACTGGCTGACCGTGTGCAGGTTATGCCACAATCTGCAGTAAAGTACTGCTTGTACTTATTGTATTTATTATTGTTAGGATCTTCTTCTGTATCTTGTTTCCAATGTCAAAACATTAATCTAAACACATATGTTCTTGGACCTTCGAATAGGAGTAAAGCAAATAAAAAAAACATGGTACTGTTTCTAAGATACAAGCATGTCTTATCAGTGAATGAATCGCAGAGGAGGGGTCATTTGGGAAATATAACCTCCACTGAACATGTATTTTCCGAGGCAGGCCATATACCTCACATAACTTCTACGAAGCTGTCTTGTCCAGTTTCTTCTTCTTTTTAATTCTTCTTTTCTTCTACCCCACTCTTTCTGCCCTGTCAGAGGCATCATGCATGTTTTCACCTCTAAAGTGATTGTACCTGATTTATATGACAGGCCTTTAATCCGGCGTGTTCTTGTCCATCAGCATCAGGCAAAAAACACCCAAGGGCATGTGTGAGTAGGCCCAAATCTCGTTCTCTGTCATTCACTGGCTTTAACCTCCAACTGGATGCACTCCTACAAATCACATTTATTTCTGCCCGGTGTAGAGATATGAGTCAATCACACAAGGGGAGAAGTGCTGCAGGATATAAACCTCCAAAAATACACTTATATTTCATGGCACCAATCTCTCTGAATTGTGTATTTTTCTGTGTATACATCCTTGAGTATATTATTCATACGGCGAGAAGACTGACTTGACAGTGATTGGCAGTCTCAAGCAAAGCCTTAACATTTAAGTCAACCACAGCAACTTAGATCCAGGCTGTAAGAATTGTTTTGGGACTAATTTACTCATTTATATTGGGTGAAATAGATTAACGAAAATTGATGTTACCATACCTGAAAACATACATTTATCAAATATCTGCCTTAAAATGTATTTGAGACACTAAGGAGGTAGCTCAGCTCAATGGTGCCCTGCATTTGCCATCTGGAGATGAAAAGGCATCTGAATGGTTTTATGGTGAAATGGCTCCACTTAGTGGCCTAACCTCAACAGAACAACAAATGACCTGGTGAGAGCTGGAGTCGAGTTTTATTTTAATTATATATATAAATAATATACAATATATATGCTTTAATCATATCACTAGAATTGCTTATTTCACACTACCTTTTTGTAAAATCGTATCAAACTGTCCATTTCTGTCGTTATAAATTTACTCTGTTCACCTACTGAATATTTTTCTGGGGCTTAACATATTTTTCACCTAAATGAAACAGTTTTAGAATACAGCCAAATAGCTAAAATGCAAAATCTTGGCATTTTTATGCTGAAGCCGGAAATCGAATATTAATGTAGTGACTTCAGAAAGAGGCGCTTTGGTTAGGTCACGTGACTTGTGTTTACAGACATCCGGAGAAACATGGAGGACACCACTGGCAGTAATCCCCAATCTCTCGGATTTACAGAAAAATTGAAATCGTGGCTCTCCTGGTCATGGACTTACGTGTGCTTCATATGGTTCGGCATGGTGCTGATCATGATATACGTCCTGTGGAGTCCGCTGAAACTGCAGGAAACTCTTACCTCAGGTGAATGAAGTCAACTGCTAGCTAGCTATTGTTAGCATTCGGGTATCAGGTTTGAGATTCCAGCAAGCGGGAGCCTGTAGTTTGACAGCTCGCTGTCTGTGTCATGCAAACGTGAAAAGAGCGTTTTTTCTCCTTAGAATTAAATTCCCCAGGGATCTGTATTTAAAGAGAAGGCTTCACCCTGTTTTTTAAGTGTGACTCACCTCATATCTAGTAAGAATTCACTAGTTTAGTTTAAAAGTGTGCCTCAATGAACATGGAAGATAAGACATTGAGCAGTTTTCTGTCTCCTGTTATCCACAAGTTGTCACCGCCATTGTTCTCTGTTTAAAATAACAAATGATTTTCTTATGACCAACACTGAAGACTAACTTTCATCTTCTCTGATTGCATCATTTTTTAATCCCCTTGTTTTGTCTTTCAGCGTCAGTATTTTTGAATACACTCACACCCAAATTCTATGTGGCTCTCACTGGAACCTCCTCTCTCATCTCTGGACTTATCCTGGTGAGTTATCATCGCAGATATTCATATTCCTCATCATCATATATTAAAATTACTTAATAATCCAAATGTGTCTATAAATTCAAAGGGAAGGATTTAGGATCAATCCAAAGTGTAGTAGTGTTGGAGACTCTATCTTTAACCCTTGTGCAGCCTCCCGGAGTAAAGCTTTCCCCATTGTCATTGAATCCAGGGTATGAATGGCTGAAGGAGGGTTAGATAATGATAATGCTACTATGATGGGTTTCCAAAAATGGGGAGCACAAGACCCAGCAGACATCGCAAGGGGAATAACCGCTAGACTTATTCATACATAAATATTATCTGTAATATCCAACAGGGGCAGAAATTACAATGTTAAACATTAACCCCAAGAATCGTTTAACTTTTTTAACGTTTATGTAAAATCAGGATTTAGGTGCACTCATTTCAGATGGGTGTGGTTTAAAAGCTTTCTGTCATCCTGTGTTGTCCCCCCCTAGATATTTGAGTGGTGGTATTTTCGTAAATATGGGACCTCATTCATTGAACAAGTGTCCGTGAGTCACTTGCGTCCTCTTTTGGGTGGAGTGGAAAGCAGCTCCACGACAGGTCTGTTCTCTTCAGTTAATGGAGAGGCAGAACCGAGACCCAGTGTCTCAGGTAAGTGTGCGTGTCTGTGTATGTTTTTTGTAAACTATAAAAGCAGTACTGAAAACATATTCCATGCTTATAATGAGTCTTCCATTTGGCAGAATGCAAGGTCTGGAGGAATCCTTTGAATCTTTTTAGAGGGGCAGAATACAACAGGTTTGTGTCCTTTTGAAATGTCAAATTGCATTAAAGCATTTCAAAATGACAACTCAAGAGGTGAAAACCATTTGATTGTCTTTGAGACAATATATTTGTATTTTTTTGTGGAACAGTTGTAACAATCTGCGCTTTATTACAGGTACACCTGGGTGACTGGGAAAGAACCTTTAACCTACTATGATATGAACCTCTCTGCTCAGGATCATCAGACCTTCTTTACAGGAGATACGCAGCAGTTAAGGCCAGAGGATGCGGGTGAGCTATATTCTGCTCTCGATCCGCTATGATGAAAACGTACAGGCTCAGGATTGTCATATGTGATGTAAAACATGAGTCAGAAGTATTGGAAATGTTAAAAAAAATGCTTGACATTTGAGTGCTATGGTTTCACCAAGCAGGCCTCCAAGGTCACACGTCTAATAAGCCGGAGTTCTTCATCTCCTTACAGTGATGCAGAAGGCTTGGAGAGAGAGAAATCCTCAAGCCAGGATCAGAGCAGCTTACCAGGCCATAGAAATAAACCACGAGTGAGTTCTGCTGTACAGTGCACAGTTGCATATCATGTCCACGTACATATCTAAACTCGCTGTACATCTCATGCAAACACTGAAATCTGACAGAAAGTACAGAAATCTTCTAGAGAAAGTTTGTGTTGATGTTTACCGGAGGTGTGTAAGTTTTCTTTATTCCTACATGCAGCTTAATGCTGATGTTCAGACAAATTATTGATGCAGTGACAAAACGCAAATGTCTCATTGTAGTTCTAAAACCTATAGGTTGAACCTTTCTTTTTTTTCTTCTTATTTTCCTCCTTGATTATTGACTCATGTCATTCTTAATTTTTTGTGTGTATGTGTGCAGATGTGCTGCAGCTTATGTGCTCCTGGCAGAAGAAGAAGCCACAACCATCACAGAAGCTGAGCGCCTCTTTAAAAAAGCATTGAGTATTGGTAAGAATGGATTTCAATGTCCATTTAGAAAGGTAATTTAAAACATATGGAGAGTATGTGGTGCATACTTAATGCATCTTTTGATGATTGTGCATGGTTACAATAGCCCATCTCGACCTGCACCCATCTGTACATCATCATTTTCTGTGCTTTCCCTCCATGCTGCGGGAAGTAGTAGAAGTAGATGCCATTTAAAAGTGGCCTTCATTTCTGAAAGCACATTTCAGTGCTATCCATGTTCTTTGTTTTTTTATTTTATATCTAATTTTCCCTCTTCATCAACAGCTGGGAAAGATATCAACTTACTGGTGTACATTAAACGCAGACTGGCAATGTGTGCACGCAAACTGGGGCGGATTAAAGAAGCAGTGAAAATGATGAGAGATGTGAGTCTCCATCTGATGCCGACCACTCGTTATGGGAGAGTGTCAAATTTTGACTGATTGAGCGTAAAACTTCGGTGTGTTTCAATTTGTCTAGTTAATGAAAGAGTTTCCCTTGTTGGGAATGCTGAATATACACGAGAACCTCTTGGAGGCACTTCTGGAGCTTCAGGCATACGCTGATGTCCAAGCAGTTCTTGCAAAATATGACGGTAAGACTAAACATCAGCCTATAGACATCATCGTCCTTTGGTTTCTTCATTATGCATCATGACTTCCCTATGTGACATTAAAAGAAATGTTTTCCTCCAAATTAGATATCAGCTTGCCAAAATCAGCCACTATATGCTATACATCTGCACTGCTGAAAGCACGGGCTGTTTCAGATAAGTATGTTATCCTTAAGTGACAACCCCTCACATGGTATTTACTGTACTCATCCACTAAGCTTGTGGTATATGGCTGCCCGGCAGCGTTTTACCTTTCACCTAACATGTAATCAACAAGCATGTAAGAATTTCTGGCATTCAGCTTTCATGTTCAACCTGTCCACCCACTATCCAGCAAGAAACTTTTTGTAGAGTCTAAGTATATAGAATAAATGTTGATTGACAAAGGATCTTTATTAATACCTTTATCTTTCATCATTCTTTTGTGTTCCTTATATGGTGGTCAAACGGTCAAATCTATATTAAAAGATAGATTTAGCACATCTTCTCGATACAAATGGAAACATAGCATTCAAGAGAGTTGTTTTTTTTCATTGCTAGAGTTGTGCCATGTTACTTTGATACCTGTGTTAGGGGTAATGTCTCTCATAAGGCGTCCGTCTCAGGTTCTCCCCAGAAGCAGCGTCCAGGCGGGGGCTAAGCACAGCAGAGATGAACGCCGTGGAGGCCATTCACAGAGCTGTTGAGTTCAATCCGCACGTGCCAAAGGTCAGTAATAAGCTTGATCCCTCGCAACATGTGGACCTTCAAAAGATAATTCTCATTTTCTCACTCTTGTGTGGACCAAAAAGACTAAAAAAATGACTCATCAGTTGGTCGTCCATGACTACATGTTGGATTGAAATATTTACCCACTATAAATGTCCATATAAATACTTAGCTAAGCAGTTATCTCCCCTCTAATATTTAGTTTGTGGTGGTGTTTTCAATTGTGACAGTGTTTTCAGTTCACCCATTAGACAGTAATAATGAAAAGCCTTATGCTGACCAAATGGACAAAGCAGACAGACAGTTTAAACAATAAACCCAAAGACAATAAAGGACTATTGTTGGCCTGCAACAGGTGCTGCAGCTCAGACCAATCATGGTAGACACACTGGGTCACCAGCAGGTGTCAGTGTAGGTCCAAACTACAGTATATATGTCAGCCTATATGTGGGATTCCCGCTCTAGATTAGTCATAATGGTCAATCCTGCTTTTATAAAGCTCATATTTATGATTGTTGCGTGCATTTGAAACTCCTGACTTGCATATTTTCTTAACATATTTTTACCAGTCAGCTAACTGCTGTAAGGTGGGACCATATTTTGGTTCCAGCCTGATGTGTTTTTACGGCTTCTGAAACTTTCAAACGGTAAACGATTGCCCGGACTCAGTTGCCGTATGAACATTTGCGATGCAGAGCTGCTCTATGCGCAGCTGAACCAGGGGGAAGCACGGGACTACACCTGGACATCTCTCAGCATTTCACATCAGTTCCCACAGGATTGGATGTCACACACACACGTGCGCACGGATTAATGCACGATCAGTTGCGGCAAGTTTTGTCCTAGTTTGGGCTTTGTAGTGGGGTGTTGTTTCATTTCACAGACCCCTTGTACTGAGAGAGAGAGAAAGATAATCAGCGTGTTTGTATGTGTGGACGTGGGAGGCGACAGCCAGCACTTTGATCCAGCCTTTGATTCTAAAGTGAGGGCCCTCATCTTCAGTGTCTTTCCAACTGCTCCCACCCTGTCCTGCCCAGAGGCAGCCGTCCTCTCTCCTCTCATCACGTACCCTCATCCAGTTTCTTATCCTCTCATGTTCCCTTATCCTTTCTCATCCCCTGTTTGAACCAAACAGACTGTCTGAACTGGATCACTGCTGCCAACTTTGTCAAAAAAGACTTCTTTGAGTTGGGTGAATAGTAAAATGACATAATGAAATCTTAAGACATCTTTCACAGAGGATTTTAGGTCTCATCTTTCAGACTAACACAGGAAGTTGTTGGTTGTTCTCTGAACAGAGCATCAGCTATAGGAATGCAACGTTCGGGGAAGGTGGGGGTGGCCGCCTGTCATGTCGGAATGACGAATGCACTCTGACCTTTTTATTCATGCTCACCTCATGTCATGCAAAGTTGATTCAGTGCAGTAGGTTTTGCTTTAAGTGTGTCTGGCATGTAAATCATGAACAGTTGAACATCTAATGATTAGTTTAGTCTTTTTCAGCTGTTTCAGCTGCTTATCATGTTTACATCAATTTACCGAAAAACAAGATAACGTCCTTTACGTTTGTTCAAAAAGGCAAAAATGTGAACAGTGATTCAAATTCTTCCCCCTCTTTGCAGACACTGAGTTACCTTTAATCGACAGGTCACCTTAACATGCTGCAGTGTATCTGCTTAACAGATCGCTGTGTTTGCAGTTGGCCTCCTTCTGGTTTTACAACTGTTTGATATAGATGTTGTTGTGGTTTTTAACCTTAGGACAGAAAGGAGAAGCTTACAGCCATGTTAATCCTAACGGCCTTAAAGAAAGCAACCAAGCCTCTTGGTTCTTGAAATTGTTTCACCTCTCGCTCGCCCATTCAATGGGTCATTTAAGGCATGGTAACCTCCGAGTTTCTGTCAAAAGTACCAGTGTTTTGTCTACACGAAACGCACAACCTAGCAAACAATACTGTACTGTACATGTTATGTCATGCTCACAATAACAATGCTAGTTTATAAAGGAAATTCTGTTATTTCTCAGGGACTAAATGCTGAAAACATTTACATTCTGACCCAGTGTTGAGTTATATCAAAAGTTCAGGGTTCACCATGTTTCTTTTTATTTATACTGGTTTGTAGAATTTAAGATGCTAAAAGATTAGCCGATGTCAAATTTCTCAAACCGTAATCTCTCATTTTATCTGTATACCACGTTTTAACGTAATCCAGCTTGGTTGATAAAAACCCAAAAGCGAGTCATTAACTGGTGAAACAGTAAAGGGACTTTTTTAGCTCAACTGTTAAATTGTGGTCGCCTAATCAAGCATGCCAAGTAGATTATTTTGGAATATCATGCCAGGCTTCATTGCATGGGTTTCAAGGCTGTACGCCTAACAGCTGTTTAAGGGTTCTTCCCCACCAATCTCTTTTTTTCATCCCCAGTTCTCACCTAACTGTCCTTCACCGACTTACATTTTTCCCCTCTCATCGTCTGATCGTCCATTCCAGTCAGCTTTTGTACCCGCGTTTACTGAGCTGCTTGGATGGTGGATTGAAAATTCCAGTTTTGGTTTGTCTATGTTCATTTAAGGGCAGTCGGACTGACCCAAACCCTTTTATCTTTGGAGTTTGCTCTATTTCAGATGGCTGTTTTTTCTTATCTCGCTCCATTCACGTTGTCAGTCTCTCAACTAAATTGCCTGTCAGGGTTTAAAAAAAAAAAAAAAAAAAAAGCAGTTTTTCTCATTGTTCCTTGTAAATGGGCTATCGGGATTTTAAATCGAGACAGAAAAACAGTCTTGGGTTTACTTGAAATGAAGATGGATGAGGTTTGATCCAGACAATGAGGAGGGAGCGGTTAGTGGAATTGCCCTGTTGTTTAGAATTCACCCACTTTGAGGCAAATGCTGTGGGTTTTGTTGTGCTTCGCTCTCCTGTATTAAAGGATGGAGCAGATTATAGTAGAGACTGTACTGTATATTTAGATTCTGTTTTTACTTCATTATCGTGTTTGTCCAACAATCATCCAGGAGCCACAGCGCTGATGTCATTGTTGCCTGCGTGCCCCATTGTGAGAGGCAAAGTGTGGCAGATTAGAATCAGAAGGAGACTTATGAGTTATGCTCTGGGCTTATGACTGCCCAGGGATAAAAGGAGAACACATGAAACCCAATCCCTCCATCAAAGAGGCGGTAGTGAGTGGTGAGGCAGAGCTCAGAGAGGGGCGGTGGGCGGGGGGAATATGTGTGGCTGAGGTGTCACCAGGTCTAATGCCGTGGCATGCGAGCAAGGACAGCTGAGCAGCCAGTCCCTCTAAATGGTTAATCTCCAAAACACAGAGGAAACAGACCTCCTCCTCAACGGCACAGTAATGTGGAGGATGAAATATGGGTTAAGTTAAGTTAAATACGTTAAGTTTGTCATTAAGAATGTAGTCCTTACCACAGTTCTTATCAAAGATCAGATCTGAAAGCCGTCTCAGCTGCCAAAACACTTCTTATAAAATAACAAGTTGAGTAGTTGAATGAGTAGGTGTTGTCCTATACTCAAAAACACGGTGACTTGGTGGGATGGTTGACTCACCACTATTACTTTTAGAGCAGATGATGGTAAAATCTTTGTGTTCAGAATGAAGCAGAATAAAGTCTTTCGGTCAATCACCTTGGTGGGGGCAGAGTTACCTGTCTGAGCAGGTTAATGTTAGCGAGCGCTTTCTGTTAGTTTTTTGTTGGTTGTTCTTGTTCTGATCACCGAGAATTTTTGGAAGAAAGAGAGAGGGGCTGAATTGTGAGGTTTAGGGGTCCACGTGGTGAATAAATAGGGATCATAGATGTAAATTTGAAAAAAATCTCTGCATAAATTAGAGATATGGATAGAAGAATCAGGTAAGAAGGACTCATAGCAAGGAAAAGAAAAAACAGAAAAACAGTTCAGATGTTCCCAGATGTGTTAATCAGAATCCTTCTTGTCTACAGGTATGATAACATAAATATTGTTATCTGTGAAATCATGTCAAAGTGCTCATCTGGGGGAAAACCTAACAAATCCTCCAGTCTTTCATTCAGATTAACATTTGTTATTGATTTTTTTGAAGGCTTGTATTTATTTCGTATGAAGTGAGTAGCTGTTGAGCTGCTATTTCAGGAGAATGTGTGTGTTTTAGTTTGAGTTACTGAAGGCAGAAAGGATGTACCAGCGGGATGGCGGTGACGGGGCTGTTCTGGCCTCAGAATGAAGGGGGACAAAGGTGGGGCGCCACCAGCTTGGTTTGGAGCGCGGAATGCCAGCTTCTTGTCCAGCAAGCTGACAGAAATGTGAAGCCGAGGATGAGCCAGCGCAGAGAGAGAGGAGGGCCGGGGACCTGGGGGCCAGGGTGGAGACGCGCAGGGGGAGCTGGGTGAAGCAGCATGGTCCGGCTGGCTGCCTCAGCCTGTGACCATGGAAGGGATTAGACAGGATTAACTGTGGGGTAACCTTCCCAAAGTGTCAGTCTGAGATCCAGAAGGCTGTGAAGCTCGCCGCCTGAGAATCCAGCCCAGGGGGCCCCAGCCCTGCACATGGGCTTTGTTGAACAGTCCCCTGCCACGCTACACACCACCAAGAGCGAGCTATCTCTGTGGAGTGTGGTTATTTAGTTATTACGCAACGTTAATGATTATTTTGGGAAAAGAGCTCAATATCATTGAAAAACCTTTAATATAGGATGTGATTAAACTAAATACCTCTAAGACAGACTGCTTCTAACTTCAACAGACAAAGATTGAAATAATACTGTAACAATAACACACGTACATTGCTTTAATAGGTTTTTTCTCTCCCAAGTACTGCTTCCAGCAATACCTCACATCAAGGAAATCTATTTTTCGGTCTGCAGGGAATTGCACAATAAGATGGAGTAGGCACGGTCCTGAGAGGGAGACAGGGAAACTTTGTGAATGCAAACATTAAAGCTGCATGAAATGATTCTGGACCGCAAAGTGAAGACTCAGATAAATGTAACTGAGGCCACGCAACATTCCATTTGGCCTTCCTGCTGAATGTCGTGAAGTTGGTTCTCATGGTCATATTAACACACGTACAGTATCATATGAATTGAGTTGGCTATCAAAAGTCTCCAAAGAGGAAAAGCATCATACAGTTCTTTATACACATACATATGTGTATATGTACTGTAGAGGTTCAATAAGAGATCAGAAAAATGGCAGCCAACGTTCTTTGTGTGTCTAATCTGTTTTCAAATCCTCACAGAGCTCATGTAACTTAATATAAATGATCATTATTTTCACTTGTGCATCCTTATTGATGGAGTTTCTGATGCCGCTGCCACACCTGATTGGATTTTCAGAGCCGGGGAACTGTTCTGTGGACCCTGGAGCTGATTATGTAAAGAGGAATGTTGCAAAAGCTGCTGAACATATTGCAGTAGCTGTGCACTCTATATAACGGTCATGGATCCAGAGACAGTTGCTCACTTTTTTTTGTTTTTTTGTTCCGTGAGAGGTTTTGGATCCTGCTGACATTTTAATCAGCCCTCCGCCTGTTTTTTAAGATGGTTGCTCCGACTCCCTGATTGCATTTTGTGGACTTCGATTTTCAATTATAAAGACAAGACTCAGACTCTGAACATAGGTTGTATTTCTCCCTCTTTTCCAACTTTAGTACTTATTAGAGATGAAGAGCCTGATCCTGCCTCCGGAGCACATCCTGAAGAGGGGTGATAGTGAGGCAGTAGCATACGCTTTCTTCCACCTGCAGCACTGGAAGAGAGCGGAGGGAGCCTTAAATCTACTACACTGCACCTGGGAGGGCAGTATGTATCCCTTTTCTGTACTTTATTCTACCACCACCTCAGATACTTTATACTCTTTTCATTAGGTCTTGTAGGAGATATAATGTCGTTCTTCATCATAACGTCCCCGTCGCTTTTCACCGTATTTTAGATCCTTTTCTGAAAACCCGTTTGATGTCATGCTTTTGTCTTCTCCTTTGCAGCCTTCCGAATAATTCCCTATCCACTGGAAAAGGGTCACCTGTTCTACCCCTACCCAGGATGCACAGAAACAGCAGACAGGGAACTACTGCCCTGTACGTACGGCAGCTTGAAGTGACGTCAATGTGTTCACTGGCACCATTTTTGACCCCGCCCTGCTCTTCTCTTCCCACTCCCATCTTTGTTCCAGCTTTCCATGAGGTGTCTGTATACCCAAAGAAAGAGCTTCCCTTCTTCATACTCTTCACAGCAGGCCTTTGCTCCTTCACTGCCATGCTGGCCATGCTCACACATCAGTTCCCTGATCTCATGGGTGTTTTTGCCAAAGCAGTAAGTACCATCGCTGCATTTTGACTTGATTTCAACGGGTTTAGAAATGTAATGGCATCCTCCAATATATACTCCAATCAAATGTGAAGGTTTTTTCTTCTTTTTTTCTTTTTTTTTTACACGTGTAGCGTGAACCTTTAAGGCCCCAAGGTAACTTCTGCCTACCATCACTGTCAGTAACATTGGGGAATCATGGGAGTTGAAAGCCTGTAAATTTTTTTCCCCTTCAAAAGTTAGTCGGACTCGGCGGAACAAAGCAGGCCTATAACAAAAGTAGGCACATCATCTTAAAATCGTTGGCTCAACTGCTTCCTTTTATGTTTATTCGCTACAGAAATGTTATCTGATTTTCAAATCAAACTGTTCTCTGGCTAATGTTTTGTTAAGGGCCTGCTTGTATATTAAGTCTGTCTTCTCAGAGGCTCGTTGACTTATAGCAAAGGCAAGGCCACAGAGAACATTTAGTGCTCTTCCTCTTTTTACGGGAAAGATTGGGTGCAGATTGGATTTTTACTGCGTGCCCAGTGAGTCTGGTTTGTGTAATGTTCAGACAGAGAGCATGAAACCATCGAGGGCGAAACGCGGAGGTTCTCACTGCCTTCTGAGGAAAAACAGATTGCAGTGAGTCAGCTGCTGCTGACTGAGAGGCAAGACCAGAGTGGTGTTTGCTGTTTATGGAATAACAGAAACCAAACATGCGTAATATGCTGAATATACTCGATGTATTTAATTGGGGGAAATAGGACTCGATGTGCCCTTATCTATCCGTGACAGTGCACCCACAGCTGAAACTATGGAAGTGAGTCACCGGAGTCAAGCACAGCTTGAGTCCATTTACTGAAGCAAGAAAATCTTTAACCTTAATCAGAAACATGTGTCTGCTCTCCGAACGCCATATGGTGCTCTTCCTTACTGTGATTTATTGTCTATCTTAATGGCAGATATAAGGTGATCCTCTGTATGTTGAGATGGAAATCAAAGAGGGCTAGAGACACATTACCTTTCTGATAGGGGTAAACTTACTGAGATCACACGCGTAACTCATACCATGATTGTTTGATTACCTTTGTCTGTTTCTATTTTAAAGAGTGAAAATCATCGATTTGATGCATGAAATTGGTTTGGATCGCGAGGAATGCCCTCTTTCCCTACAAATAACAGCATATTAAACTGTCAGCACCGTCTGTACACCCACAGGTCGACTTTAGAAAACTCGGACAGTGCTCTTTTCTCTAAAAGTTTCGGGGTCTTGTGCAGAAAAGCCCATTTGAAATTCAACACGGCAAGTTGTGTTTTGCTTCTAAAAAGCAGAACCTGCTCCTCGCTTACACGGTTCTTAGATGTTCTGCCAAGACGAGCATGTTCAGTGCTGTCACACCTGCTTGGAGACAGGACAGAAGCCCCAAGAGTCAAATGGGAGTCTGTGCGGAATCATACGAGCCTGATGTACAGAGGGCAGAAGTAGATCTTTACATTTTCTGGTCCCAGATGAACGAGGGGTTCAGAGTCTGTCTGTTTTTTCCTGCGGTCTGTCGAGGAACTTTTCTGTTTGTTTGTTTAACATTTGGAAAAAGTGGTAATCCTGTGTGTGATTTCCGTAAGTTTCCATCTCACATTTCAGAGGAATGTTTTAAATGTTAGATTATAGATCTGGATATCTATCTATATAGATATATTGGGTTAATTGTTCCTCTCTTTTGCTTCCAGTTCTTCAGCACACTCTTTGCACCACTGGGCTTCTTTGCAGACAAGATGGAAAGCTTCATGCCGGCCAGTTTTTGGCACCAGCTGACTCGGATCTGAGCCCCTCTCTGTGGCACTCACACACAGACACACACACACACACACACACACAACGCAAACCCACACAAACACCAACACCACTCCATGTTCTCTGACAAAAAGCTCTCCTGTCCTCAGCATTACTGTCCACATGCTGCATTGTTATTGATTATGTTGGCTGAAGTTGTATCAACATAGCAAAAGCACTTCTAAGATGCTCTCCCACTCTGTTCCAGCTTCCAGAGCTGTTTCCCAATAACACATTTCGTGAATACCGTTTGGTATTTCACAGGGTCATTCACTTGTTAACATAAGTGAATTAAAATCTTTTCTACGTCCCACAAGTCTGGCTCTACATTGAGATTGTCCCTCATTCAAAAAGAAAAGAGGCAAAACAGTGAAACTTGGATGCCCTTAATAATTCTAACTCGTCCTCAAATCAGATTTCTGATCTAGTGGCTGCAGTGCAAACAGCAACCCCTCAGCTCAGCACTTGTCCTCTTTTTTGTTTTAAATATGCTTCCCTGACAGACAATGTAACAGCTCGCCCGGCCTAACTTTATAAAAACACCTGTCGACGTCAAATGTATCCGCTTTCATCTGATCTTAAAATGCAATGTAAAACAGGGAGGAATGTAGTCCAATTGAATTTAATTCAACTGTTGCACCACCATTCGTATACTTTGTTGGACGGGTATTACCTAATCAGAGGCCACAGCAGCCCACAGCTGCTGGGTCTGGGAGAGAGGACGTCAATCTGGAAAGTTTCAACTTCATAGGAAATCACCAAGAAAATGGGATACAAATGTGCCTTTTTAGTACAACGTACTACTAAGTAACTGACGCACTGACCACACACGTTGGCCACCTCATTGTTGATGAGAAGTTTAGAACACGCTCTGCTTGATTTGACTAAATATTTGCTATCAAATAAAGAACAAACTAATTTGTTTATTGTGCACTTGGTGCATTACTGAATAAGGAAAGATAGAATCATGATTTTATGTAATAAGAAATTAGCTCTGTTATTTCATGAAATGTTTGTTATGCTGCATTCAAATTGGGGTTGTAGTAATAATACATCAATCCATTTGCTATAACCGCTTACAGCTGTCATTGGGTGAGGGGTCCACACTGGACAGGCTGCCAGCCAATCACAAGGCCACACAGAGACTACCAATCATCCACACTCACACTCACTCCTTGGGTCATTTTGGGGTCATCGTTAAACCTAACATGCATGTTTTTTGGACCCGTGCCACACAGAAAAGTACCAAGCTAGGAAACCAGGAAATACAGAATAGAGAAATACAGAATTGTCTGTTTTGTTTTGTTTGTTTTTTTCTGTTCTGCTTAAGTTAATGACAGAACGAATACAGCGTGCAGCTGAAACTACGGAACACATGCTGAGGACATGAGAATGTATTAATATGTGTTATCACCCTGGGATGGGTCTGTCGGGAAAACCTACGATAAACGACTCTTCCACCAAGGCTTCCTCGCATGTGTGATCATTTTCTACAAACGGAAAGAGCTTTAATTTTGATCAGCTGGCTGCAGAATGAACTAACACGGTACTGCGGTCGCAGCCAGGGGCTAATATTTCTATCATAATGTGAAAGTCTCCAGTCTTTAAAAAAATCTCATTTAAAAAGTTTGTGTATATTTTTTTTCAAACTCCTGCACCTCTCTATTGGATGTTTTAATTTCGTTGGCGCCACGATCATATTCCTAACTCCTGACTGGAGAGCAGCTGTAATGAAAATCTGAGTTGAGCTCTGTTGACGGGACCTAAAGTGCCAGAGCTTGGTCTGCGAGTGCGTGTCGAAACTTGAATTGCTCGCCAGCCCTCATGGAAGAGAGCTTCAAAGTCGGCATAAGAGGGAAAAGAATTACGAACAAAAATAAAACAAAGGGTATATAAAGCAGCACTTTCATTTGAGCATGGCACGTACCTGCGATGAGAAACACTTTTAACGTAAGCAGCTACAACCATGAGGGTGAGACGGTTACATGTGTATAATCGTATTGAAACCCGTCAAGTGGTTGGTGGTGTCACATTGTACTAAGACCCCAATGGAAAGAATAAGTCTTGACAGCTGGCCCTTTTAAATAAGAGATATCATCACCCAAAATACCAGAAGAGAAAGATCACCAGTTTGATGAAATAATAAACCCCTGTTCACCAGAACAGATCTGTGCTCTTTGTCCCTGAACGCCCCATCAGCGTGTCTTGGGCTAAAGTCTCCTGAAACCAGCCACTCTTTTTAAAGAAGAACACACTGCTCACAAACTACTATCCCTCCATGATTCACATTGTTCATATTATCTTGAGTGTTGCCACATAGTCTGATTTAAATCTTCTTAGCCAGTTTCTACTTTCTAATGACCATCAAATGAGATAATGATACGTAGGTTGCTCGGTACGTTCATGTCTGGTGGGTTACTGAGATGACTTCTTAACCCCACACAGAATGACAACATAAGCTTTCCTTGAAGTTTAAGACCTATCAAACATATCATTTTGGAACACAGCAACATATTTTTCCAACGTTTTTGTTCCATGGAAAGGACCCACTGCCCACTGAACATCATGAAACTGATGAGGGAGGGGGTTCACCCTCCCCAGGTACTGGTATTGGTTCAGGGAAGTAAGGTTAAATGTCAAAGTTTTTGCTAAGTACTGGCATTTTATTCATATAATAAATCCAATGCATGTGAGCAGTCTGAATGAATTTAAGGATTATTATGCTCTGACCATTAAACATACAGTGTGCGGATTAAGGCCACGTGCCCTTCTTAAGTGTCTGAAAAGGGAACCGAGTTCTAGTCTTACTCTTATTCTTAGTCTTATTTCATTGTTGAAAATGGAGTCAGTTATTACGAGTCTATCATGTGATAAGTTGTAGTTTGAAAAAAATAACCTCTTCCATCTATTAAAAACTTTTTACATAGGATTTCCTCTTTTCCCCCATTTGTTCAATAATTTGCCATATTAAAAAAATTTACCACTCTTGTAGCTTCAGTAAAATCACAGCCAGATCCACACAGAAACCCCTAAAATGCCTTATGGAGCTATTAGGGCTGGCCCATAATTCCAACGTAAACGGTAAATTGCTGTTGATTCATTTCAGTTTGGAAGCGCAGACAGCAGCATCTCTCTGCTCCGGTGAATCTGAGGCGTCCATGTGGACGGCGCTGTCCCCTGGGACCGTTTTAGCTCTGAAATGTTCAATTGAGATGCCCTCTTGATATCACTATGAAGGTGCGGAATCCTTGCAATGTCACTCCTGTTATTTTTACAGACTTCTGCCGTATCACGCCGAGTGGAGGACAAAGCACCATAGATACTATAACAAATATAAATGTCTCAAAAGTCTCAGCACTGTCTGATCTATGTGTGAGTAGTTAGCCCTCTGTCACATGTTATCAAGGCCTCTTTCTTATACAAAATGTACAATTAAAACTAGTTGGACCTTTCGTGGTAGTTTTCCCTTTCTAACCAGGTCTAGCTTCCGTCAGCCCTGTTACTTTACTTTAAAGTACAGTATAGAACAACCTGGATATTGAATTTACTGGACTTTAAAACCCCTAACCTGGTTGACTGATTTATTTTTATCATCTCAGTGCCAAAGCTGAAGCTCGGTTTAAGCTCAGAAGGACATGTTAAGTTGAAGAGAACGGAAGACCTCTAATTTGAGTGAGAGGGTGGATCAACAAAGTTTAATATAGAGTCAGTAAGATATATCAGGACCTGCATATTCAAGGTGAAAATGTTTCCACGCTCCTCCATGAACACTCGGGCACTGTTCCATCAATCGCTGGCAGACTGTGAGGGCAGCTGAAATGCTAAAATATGGCTTCACTCCTAACTGAAAGATGTCACCCGTCAGATGAAATTGCATTTGCCGACTGAATTGTAAGAAAATAGCTTAAAAATCAAGATTTAAAAATGACATTTTATCACATCAACATCTCCCAGTCCCCCTGTTCAAACTTTAGGTTAAAAAAAATGGACAGATATTATCACTGCTCCACCTTTGTAATTTACAGGAGAAAAAAATCTGACATTCTCTGACTGACATTCAGTACTGGATCTTTTCTTTGCAATTAACTTTTGACTCTCTGCATCAAACGTCTTTGTTAGAAGGGTTTTACTTTGGCTCTCCCGTCATTACATGGACCTAAAACAATTCCTCACCTCCTAGTGTTCGCATCTTGTAAACCATTCCGAGAGTCGTGTCTCCAAAGACCCTACACAGTGTCTGTCTGCTTTGCCAGATGTTCGAAAGTCTCAATTCAAGTTCAGTGGCGACTTCATCCTTCACTCCCCTCAAACCAGCCTGAGGAGCTACGACACGTGCACAGAGAACTGAGAGCACAATTGCACAAGATTTGTTATAAATGCGGTCTGTCACAGTGTGAAAAGAGAGTAAACTTGCCTTGGGAGCTTTTGTAATGAGCACAAACAGAGAAGCTGCATTTAAAATACTAAATGAATGCCAATCAGATAAGTCTGGAACTGGCAACAGGACCTGACACCACTCACACAATCAAAATATCCACTAATTTCTAGATATTTAAGATGGATTGTTTAGTTTTATACATTTAGCCGGCCTTTAATGTATCTCATTAGAGAAAATTGCATTGTGTTGCAACAAAAGTTGTGCCAAATTGAATTTTTTCAAAGTCCTCGTTTAGATTTTTTTTACACCCAACAGCTGTTGCTGTGTCTATTTTTTTTTTTCTGTGTGTGCGTGTGTGTTGTCAATCTGCAAAAGCTTTTAGGAGTTACTTAAAGCTGTCAGCAAAAATAAACTCAAGTAGAACTGACCAGAGGTAGATAGCAGAAACTTTTCCATGATGCAAGGCAACCAGAATGCGTGAGATCTATCACACTCCATTATTCAGCACACTGTTCAAAAATCTCTCTGAGGCTTGCTCGTTTTCTAATCATGTTTCTTTTTTGTTCTAAATCAACTGAATCCAACGTCGACTGAAACACATTAATATCTCTCATGCTACCCTTCCTCATAGTACGTAGAGCCATTCACCGAAAGAAGGATTTTATAAGTGTCTGACTTTTTTCTTTTGATCTGATAGATGCACGTTTTAGCAGCGTTTGTCTTTTGTAAATTAATCGTTGCACTTTCAGACATGACTTTTTGTCACTTTAAATGATAGAATGTCGGAGTTTATGTCTTTCTCCTGATTTACGCTAAATATTAGTCACCACGGTCGCCTCTCTCATCAATTATGCTCACAGCCTTTACAATCTGTGAGACCACCAGTCATCTCCTGTCTGCCTCGGTTGAGGGCGCATTTACAACAACACATGATGTATTCAACCATTTGTATCAAAGATTTAAAACCTGTCATAGATGGCAAAAAAATTCCTCATAAAAACTCCTTTTTGAAGCATCACACCAGCTGCGACTGGACTTAGTTTCTGGACAGCAAACTTCCGATTAAGTTCTGTGAAGTCTGGTTGAAAAGTGCTCAGAGCACGGAAAAGCCAGAGGTATACAAGTCGTGAGATCCCACTCGGAGAAGGCCATTGGAGCAGAGGTTAATGAGTCAGCTGTGCCAGGTCTCGGCCGGGGTTTGGCGCTTAGGTTATGTCCAGCCAATCCGGTCGCTTGTGAGGCTTGCAGGTGTGAACGTCCACCACGTCCTCGCAGTCGCTGCACTCCACCGAGCAGCACCACTTGAACTTGCACTCGCACTTGGTGACACGCTTGACGCGCATGGTGTCGTAGCCTCGGCCGCAGCACATGACCTCGCAGCCGTCGGTGCCTCTGGAGGACTTCTTGCACACCCTGCCAGCTGTACCCAGCGAGCCTGTAAAGAGATGCAAAGAGTGAAAAATACTGTATCGTTTCCTGTCTGTCAGAGATAACCAAAAGGCAGAGAGGAGTCTAGACCTCTGGACTGGCAATACATATACCTGGCTACAAGTAAAATTAACACAAGAGTCAATATGTAGAAAATTGAGGGATTTTTTTTGCCATTTTGCTTCTTACGTGTGTCTTTAAAACCTTCCCTTCATAAGCTACAGCTCTTATTCCTATAAGGGGTTTCAGAAGACTGGAACCTATTCCAGAAGTCATTGAGGAAGAGCCGGGGTAAACCCCGGACTGATCGCCATCCATCACACGGCCACACAAAGACAAACAACCACACACTCCCACGGACAATTTAGAGTCTTCACTCCACCTGGCATGCATGCTTTCTGACTGTGAGAGGAAGCAGGAGAACATGAAATTCAGATTAGTTTATTAATCCAGTGCTTTTGATGACTGTCCGCATTCAGAAATGAAAACTCAAATAACTCAACAGTCCAGAAGAAGCTTTGTTTTATTCCAACAGACGTTCTTCCACTGCCTCATTTTTAAATTGAGTCCAGTTTATCATTTTAAAAAATCGGAACTTGCAAAGGCCTCAATATAGTGTTGCATGGGCTTTATAATTATCCTGTGGTCTTGATTTGTTGGGCAAAACCACAACTATCCAAATGTGAAAACGCCCACTTCTAACATGGAGGGCCAGGAGCTAATGCTGGCAGCTGTCCAACTGCGGTGGAGATGTTGATACTCAAAACTGAAGCTGTGTTTTCCAAACCAAAGTATCACTTTTCCCACACTCTTCACCATTCAGCTTCCCGACTGAATAGTCACAGACCCAAACACAATTGTGTACATGTACTCAGGTGTAAAATCTTGGCCTAAGATCAGATGCCAGGTCTAATAACAGTGCATCCCTGAAGTAAAGAGAAGAGGATAAGAGGAGATACCCCCCCCCCCACACCCCAACACCACCACCCTCCAGGCTCAGGGAGAGGAGCTTAATACTGACCAAAGGGAGGATTTGAAAAATAAGCCTGCATGTATCCTTAGGCTGTGAATTCCTATACAATGGGGATTAGCGTTGAGAAGTCACGGGCTGCCTTTAAGATCAGCTTTTAACAAGGAAAAAAACAGCCCGTCCTTTGAGTGAGCACACCTTTATTACCCCTTAGTTGTCAAAGTGCAACCAAGCTAACTGCAGGGAGGAGCAAAAGGAATCCGATAAGTTAGTGTCGTCATGTCTCCTGCACATGCTATCTTGCCTAACCTATTAACAGTGAGCGGCTTCATGCTCTGCTGAAGGGGCTGGATTGGAAGACAGAGACCGAGCCTAACAAGGCAAAGCAAACATTAGGAATTAAAGGAGATGTTAAAGGTCAAATTATTGAACTTCAAGCCGTGAAGGAATGTTAGCCTTCAGTGGACTGATTCTCATTGTTGTGTAAGGTTCAACATTCGCATATAGTGTTCATGATGAGGGTTTGGGAAAAATACTAATGCGGTATAAACCTAAATTATCATGCATTTCAAAAACAAAAGACATATTGGCCCATAAAAATGCTTTGTGTGTGAAATCATACAGTGAGTTACACACTAGAGAGAGAGTGTTGTCTGTTTATATTCAGCCTTACATGTAAAAACATTAAAACAGATTAAATTTTATCTATTGAAGGTGTAATAGTGTGTGTTTTCCATCTTGTATGTCAGTAGATAAGCAAAAAAAAAAAGGGGAGTAAGAATTAGTCACGGGTTAATGACAAACAGCTCATGTTTAAGACATTCAAAAATAAGCCCGTACCAGCTATTTCTCTGTGTGTGGTCTGGACAGACCAGTCATTTCAAAATCATCCTGAACCCAAACAGCACCGGCCTTATTTACGAGAGCGTCTTCAATCTCCCAGTTTTACTTCTCTAAGGAAAAAAATGAATTCATTCACTCACCTGCTGCGCGGTCCATGAGACAGTAATCTGGGGAGCTCTCCACATAGACCAGTTCATTCTTGGTGCTTCCCCGAAAGTCCCTGTCGGCCACCATAAAGCCGGTCCCGTCCTGATTCATGGTCACCTCGATGGCTGCGTTGTACTTCTTGCGGAGGTAGTCTCCGGTTCGCCTTAAGTCAGACATAGCTAGCCAACAGGTTCTCAGAGAGCAGGAACCACTGACCCCATGACACTTGCACTCCAGCTTCATAAAGCGCTTCACTGCCTAGAGCAGAGGTCAGAGGTCACAGAGTGTTAAGCCTATGATTTTGCCCACGTTGTGATGCACCATGCAAGCTAAGTGCTCACCATGCATTTGATTTCACCTTTCTTGAGGTATACAGTCGTCATTCAGAACAGCAATAATACAGCAACACCACCCATTTCAAAAGCAGAGCGATAGACATTGGGAGTATTTTTACCATATAAGCAATGCTTGTTAACGTTGGCTTCTGAAACCTCAAACAAAACAGAAGAATGGAGTGAAACACAGTGTCTATGGAGCCAATACCCAACAGAGGAATTAAAACCTGTCTGTTAACCAACGTCTGACTGTAAAGCTTGTTCTGCTTTCTTATCTGGGGTTTTCATAACCTGGCCCAGTTCATGCCACAATAGCACTGATGCTAATAAAAGATAATTGCCAACTATCGTTGACCAAAATGTGTCATTCCATTTTAGAGGAAATTTGGTTCAACTTGTGGAAACAAGGAGGTCTATCTCTGGAAGGGATGTTCGTTCACCTGCACTATTTTTACTACATATACATTCTTATAAAACCTACGTTTTGATTTATTATTGAATTATTTGTAAAACTGATAATACTTTTGTGTGAATAATAAAAAATAAAATAAAAATGATGAATTCAAGGGCAGACTAATTTTAATTCTGGCCATGATTCACATTAGCACCGGTCTCAAAAAACGTCCGCATACGTTAACGCTGAAACGTTTGCTGCTCACCATCCGACCACATCGGTTGTTGTGCAGGTTCATCAGCGCCCGGGCGTCCTTCACCATCCTTTCTCGAGCATCGACAAAGGCCTTGGCGAACTTGATGCCGTAGTTGATGTTGTCGCTGCAGCCGCCCCAGTCGAAGTTGCCCTTGTCGTCGTTGGCCTGCCCCCGCTTGTGGCCGTCACAGTTGCAGATCTTAAGCTCCCCCTGACTGCAGGCGCGGGTTATGGCGTAGACCACTCCGGCTGAGGAGATGGCATACACAAAGGCTGCCTCTCGACTGCCTGTGTGGGCGAGAACAAGAAATGACACTGACCCGGTAACTTCAAAGTGTTCCTTCACTTTCTTTCTTTAAGGATTTGCAATGCTATTGTTGTACATTGGTTTACAATATGAATCAAAACAACATTCAGTGTATTCTATCCAGCAGTAAGCATACTCGGTCCCATCAAAGTGGAAGGCTGAGGTGAAGTTCGAAGCATTTCAGCCATTACATCCCCGTCAAACCGACTTTTTTCGCCCTGCCTTTTGAAATTTTTCACAGATGGTAGATTTCTCAATTTCTGAACAGTGTTTTCATTTTAGATGAGAAGAGATTTTGGGGGTTATTTGGTCTGGCTGTTCCAAACCTCCTCCTCCCGTTCCCATTCCTTGCTCACGCAATGAAGCAGAACACAGACGATATGTCAGGGAGTGGAGCTTTGTCTGGCTGCCAGAAACATCTCCCCAAATATTTACATCTCCTGTCACTGTTTATACATCACCAGTGTGGACTTCTCGATCTGCTACTTGTTTTCAGAGAACATCCACTTTTCCGATCTCCATTCCAGAGAAGGTAGAATAACCCCCAGCACCTCCTCTTTCTGTTTGTCTATCAGCCTTCGGTTGATGGAAGGAGATACCTATCAATTCTTCGCTTACGTGGCAACGAAGGAGACATTTACGAGGGATGGTTAACTAGAGTGTCACCGGCCGCCTTTGTGCAAAAACTCACTTCGCAGCGTGACCCGGCCGAACACGGTGTGGTCCCGGTCCAGGGTGCTGCAGTTCCAGCGGTGGTGTCGGAACTGGTGCTGGCACTCTTTGATCCACTCCTTTGCGCCTTCGCTGATGGACTGCATGAGGTCCGGGTGGCGCTGACAGAGCTGCCGCTGCTTGTTCACCAGACCGGGAATGTTGTTGCATATAACCCGAGCGCCCAGCGCTCCGATGTACCTGCAGACACACAGGGAGCACGGACGGAATGAGTAGGTCCATTCGAAATGCGATGCAGCTGCACAGGATTTCAACTTTCTAAGTGGAAGTGTTTGCGTCAAAATGGGGACGTCTAGTCGAACTAAGAGGCCCACACGAGAACTTTCCTCTGAAGCTGACCTCCACACGCAAGTGCAGGTTTTGGCTCTGAGGCAGAACCTTCTGCGAGAAGTTTTCCAGGGTGAAGATTTCCACCGATACCGACTGCAACACTAATCATGGACCGCAAAGCCAGAATGTTTTGTTTGCTGCATCAGATTATGCCCAGATGTCAGAAAATGCACAGAATTCCCTGTTGTTGACAAGGCAACATGAGAAACCAGCTGGATATTGTCAGTTTCAACCATGTAAACGATACAAAATTTTAAAAAAACACTGCGACTGTATTGAAGATCGGAGGATGAAATCCATAGCTGTGTGATACAACACAGGATGCTTGTTCAACATCCTTTAAAGGGCGGAATGACGGAGGGGGAAAACTTGGTTTTTAACAATCTGTGTTCTTGTGAAACCTAAATCTTTGGTCCTTGTGTGGATAACGTTCTGTCAGATCCAACATTTTTAAACATAACTATGTCCTATTGACTAAAGTTCAGTTCCACGAATGACGTTTTATTCTCTTTTTTTCTCTAAATTCACTCAAGATAATCACATCCATTTTTGGTGATGCCAAAATTGCACTTTGTGTTTAAGTTCTTGGTTTTTATTTATGTTGGAATGGCGCCTGATCTTGAGAACATTGTTTTTCTTCGCCATAATAATTTTTCGTAATCACAATTTAAAATGGAAGCTTGTTTACAGGTGATCTTTTGGAGATGTCCACACCACCCAAAGAATTAAGTTATTTTTGGCTTGAACATGAACGCAATGTTGAAAACCTACCCTTTTGCAAGTACTGGTAATAATTCTTTAATTATATAACCACTTTAATTGAACTCTTCATTCCAATGTGAAAAGAAACTCATGATGAGCCAATTTCTTTTCCATTTTTCAGCTTTTTTTGTGCACGAAATGTGGTCAAAACATTTTTTTTAAGTTAATGTGACAGACTGAGAAGTTTTATCTGCTTCCATCATGTGATATAATCATGTCACAGTTCATGAATAGTGGCGATGATGAAGTGAAGCCAATATATCTGGGCACACAGGAAGAAACCAAAATGTTTCAACACCACTGGTGAATCCAACTGGTCTCTCTCGGAATTGTTCTCACTGACAAAGATGTTTTTAACCATACACTTTGATGGGGAAAAAAAGCCTTCCTCCAAAGATTTTCTTTCAAAAGTAGTTCAATTCACTATCCCTGTCATTTATCACATGCTATTGTCTTCTTAAAACTGAAAAACCCAGGACAAAGAGAGATTAATAAATTCCTCACGTTCAGTGAAAAGCTTTTGTTTCCTGCTTTCCTTTCCAGACATAATCCCTAATTTTGTTACAACTCTTTAAAAAAAAAGGGGGGGGGGGGGATCACATGCCGGTGGCATTGTGAAGCTGGGGGGCCTCAAATCAAACAGGCACGAGGACAGTCGCCTACAGTACAAGTGTGTGCCCGGATCAGCCATATTATACCTCTCCCACCCTCTTTAAGGCTGCATGCTTCTCTCTCTCCATCCGGACATTGTTCTAGCCTCTGATCGCAGCCACGTTTGTGTCGCCTGACCCCCCGAAACAGAAGCCAGCCTAGACGGCAGTTTCCACTCCCGTTATGGCGGTCTCCACCCTGCTCTGCTCTGTCTGAGCGGTAAAGCTGAGCAGAAGCACTACCTGCATTTACTGTGTGTTTTCAAATACCAACAGTGCCCAGAGACCTCCAACTGTCTCCAAGAGGACACACACACGCTGAGATGGAAGTAGGCTGTGCGCGCAGAGGCACACGACAGTCCTCAGAATTATGACAGTGGTTAAGAATAGGCCAAGACAGGGATCTTGATCATCCAGACAGGAGGCCCCCGGGCCATCTTTGTCTTTCACCTTTACTCTAAAATTCTCCACTTTGCGGAGGAGAGGGAGTTTTGCACCGTGGCAAATCGGATGACCCGTGCTTTTTAGTTCCCCAGGGAAATTATCATTCACAACACCGTGTAGAAATGACGCATGGGCGCGTCAGAAGGGGAAATGGTCGTAGTAGAGGTAGAAAAATAGGCTTTGCTTCACTATTGTTTAGTTGGGTGAAAAAATATAAAAAACAATCAAAAATATTTTCAACTGTGAGATGTTACAAAGGGAGCTAAACCTCAGGTGAGAGGGGCTAGTGGGGGATGCTAATTCTCTTGTATATTTAGTTTTTTTTCTCTCCCTGTGGGTGTTTTAAAGCCTCAAGAGAAATCATCAAGGGGGCTTTCATTCATGCACCAACGCCTGCACCTGCCACTTACTCCAGGCAAGATAGATGAATAGGGGGAGATTCCCCTCCACACCATTAATCTTCACAGGCCTGCTGTGCTGAGCATCTCAGTTTGCATTGATGTTGGGAAAAGTAATGTAAACACACGTCCAGAAAATTCCCACACAGATGCAAAGAGGAAAGTAAAGCAGGCGTGCATGTGAGAGGTGGCAAAGCAAATTCTACATTTTTCAATTATTATTGCAGATGGACACAAAATAAAGAGTCATAGAAGTAAATCAAGATCTGAACTTTTAGAGGTCTTTAACATCCTGGTTCATCGTTATAACTCAAGAAGTTACACTAATGTATGTAAATAAAAAAGCTCACTCACCACCACGATGAGTCCACTCTCGGTGTGAAGAGGAGCAGGAGGAGGATCATGATGGGTTTGGAGTGGTTTTGTTTTTTCGCCTCATTTCGGATCCCCATGTTTCTGCTGCTGGTTGTTAATCTCCGGGATTTCATAAAACAGACCATGTTCTACCGTGTTGGTAAAAAAAAAAAGATGCGCGTTCAGGTGTGGGGGGGGTCCTTTCCGACTGTCCAGCGTCCATCACCGAGTAACAAAAGACACTCCACAGAGAGCAGAAGTGCTGTCCGGCTCCATCAGTTATCTGCTGTTTCCCTGCGTTACACAACTTTACTCGGAACATCCAAAGGGATCTTCATCTGCACTTGATCGCTGAGATCTGGTAGAAAAATTCTCTTCCTCCGATGATGCGACCAGCTTTAAGTTATATGGAGTTGGAAAGCTGTTTGCCTGACAAAAAAAAACGACCCAAGACATTTAATTCAGATGCAAGTCCTGGAGCAGAAAAAGGATGCGTCCTCACCTTTCCTCCTCGAGCGCAGAATGAAGATGCGCGTGGAAAGCGCTCAACTTTGGTGCGTCAGCTGTCCGCGGCCCACCCCCCTCACCCCCCTCAGTCCTCACCCCCCTCACCCCCCTCACCCCCTCACCCCGCTCCCCGTCCCGGAGACGCGCAGCTCCGTGCGCCCGCACCAGCGGGCTCCGGGTGGGCAGCGCGTCCCACCTGACCTGATGGCTGGTTCCATATTCTGACAGACGTCCAGAGTCCACTCCCGGGATTCCCTGGACATACCTGCTGCCCACACTCTGACAGACCTTTGATAGAGCCACTTTGATTTTCTCATTTATTCTGGAACTAAAATCTACGTCACCCATCATTCATGTTTAGAAGAACCGTCAACATTTAGTTTTCCCAATGAACCAAAACAAAAAAAGACCAAAACAAAGCAAAAACTGCCTCTGACATCATGTCCAATCGTTTATAAAGAGATAAACTGTGGATGCCCTATGTTTTTTTTTTAAAGTAAACTTTTATTTAGATAATTGTTTTTTATTAAGGATTCTTAAATACAAGGTTGATAGCAAACATTATGACTTGTCACTGTGTGTCTAGAGGCAAGGACACATTAGGCTAAAAAGAATATGAGGTACAGAGGTCAGGAAACAACATTCACATCCAAACTATTCTGATCCCAACACTGGATTTGCAATGCAGACGTAGTTTTATGTAGAAAAAACACATTAATTGATAGAGTGGTTAGAGATATACAGCAAAGCAAAGTTACACAAAATTAGCAAAACAACACCCAAAGATTTAGAAAAAATCTGCAAATGTAGAAAATGAATGAAAACTGCCTTGTGTGGAGATGTTTAATAAACAGTGGCTGCAAATCATGGTAAAAACTGTAGTCACAAGTGCAAATGAAAACTGCTTTGCTTCCAGTCCTCTTGGAGTTTGGAATATTTCTGGTAGATTTTTCTTGCTGGTCCAGAGACTCATAATTCATTCATGCATGTATTTGTATTTCAGCTTCAATTCTGAGGAGCCATACATGATTTTTACATTAGGAAACATGAAGTGTCTCCACGAGAGTTAAATTGTAATCCTTTCTAGGACGGCATTCCATTAAAGGTATGAATGGTCTCAACCTTGCGCTTATGAAGGATAAACACATCCAACACTGTTGCTCTCACACAGAGCCCCCATACTGTAAACAGTTATTTGAAAAAGAACAAAGTTATCCTGTATCCGTAAGTCAGTGTCAGTTAGAAAATGAGTCAAACGTAGCATGAAGCTATCTCAGCCCTCACTTGTTTTTGATTATTTGTTGTTCACACGCACAAAAATCCCTGTTTGTATTGCAGATTTAACAAAACCAAAGAGAAATCTCATTAACAATGGAGAGACATCCAGTCGAAGTCCATTATTATCTCTGTGGTGTGCCCCTGGACAAATTATATGGACTGTACACGTCATCAAATCTGTTCGGAGTCACATGAAGAGCCAGAAGACTCCTGGGACGACTTAAGTCCACATACAAACTCAAAGGTACAATTTACACAAATGAAAAATTTTAAAGAATAATGCCAAAATGACCAGCCTCTGGGGAGTGTTATCTTGGTAAATATTTTGCCAACAGCAAATATTCAACACATGATCATAATTTTGTCAGATAGGAAGTGCACCATAAAGCTTTGGTCACTGGTTTACAATTAAAACCAGATTTAAGCCACTCATCACTGGCTCTGGAAGAGAAAAATCCTCATACTACACAGGTGGCAGAGTTTTTCCCACACGACTTCTGTGAATGGGACAGGCGCCCGATTTGGTCCCTCTCTCTTAGAAAATGATTAATAAGTCAACAAAGACGCCTCCCTACCATGTGACTCAGGGAGGGGGAGAGTGAAATATCCTCCTCTCCATTCCGAGCACTTGAACCTCTCCTGTAATTCCACCGGAGTGCACGTTTGTATAGTTCGTCTCATATCCAGGGACGGTTTTGTCTCATGGAGCCGGTGTGGAAACATCTGACCCAACCTCAAGGACATTTCATGGCTTGTTTCCCCGAGACCACTGAGAGCATCCGGCAGGTAGAGAGAGAGAGAGAGAGAGAGAGAGAGAGAGAGAGAGACCCAGAGAAGACGCCATGTGCTCACTGGATGAGTGTGCGAGGTCATTTTAATCAGTACAAATCCAGGGGTGTTAGCTGGGGATGTTAGTAAAGGTCAGTAACAATGCAGCTGCTTCGACATACCACGGCTCAGGTTAATAGTCTGTTTTGGAATGAGGGGTTATTTGTCATCTAAGAGATCAGACAGATTCCTCGTCTAATCTAAAAATGATTTTGCATTTCCAATGTAGGCGGTGGACGCTCCATTCTCTTCCAGCCTCATGTCTTTTGTCCTTCGGTCAGGCCTATGTCATATCTGAATTTAGAGCTCCAAATGCTTCCTCATTACATGTGACCCCCCCCCCCCCCCCCCCCGTCTTTCTTTACCCCCCCGGCACAAGCTATGGATTTTACAGTGACAACTCTATAACAAATTGCTTCACAGAGAGCAGGTGACGGTGGCGATAACACACTTCGAACGAGCTCCTATTCTGGGATCCATCTCATGGCATGGGATGGTTTTGAATGAGGCGGGCGGGGGGGATGACAAGAGAGGGAAAAGAAAAAGGAGGAGTACTCAAAAACCCTTTGGACCAGTACAAACCGTGGGCATGGGGAGTCACAGCTGTCATCACTTGTGGTGAAATGAAATCTAAAAAGTCTGTGCTTTTTCTTTAGACAGGTTTACAAAGAGGAGGCCATAAATTTGGAGCTCTAACTCCTGACAGTTTATGTCCTGCCTCCTTGACCCCCCGGTTTCGTCAGCTCGTCCTGTTCGGGGTAGTTGAGGAAACCCGCACGGCGGGAGCATGTGTCTGGAGCAATCTTTTTCCAGTTCAAGTTCATTTATTTATACACCGCGTGGTGCCTTATTGCGAGCGTGTCTCACACAGTCCTGCACAGAAGTAACGTGAGAATCAAACGGACCCAGACTTTTTCAAAACGAGGCATGTCCAGGTGTAGACGCCTGGATGAAGTAAGTCTGACTGGTTATTTATAGTGAGAATATGACTGAATGCAAATCCATCCAGATAAGAGATGTTCAAGTATTTGAAGGATAGTTTTTACAAGCCATTCGTTTAACTTTTCTTTTAGAAATTATGTATAAACTTAGACCACTAATGCAAAGAAAACCCACAGTGTATATTAACTGTCCTATGTAAAGACACTATTTCAGATTTTGATGAATGAACGTTTCATCACATTTCTCAGCCTCTGTGCAAAGGAGGAAGTTGCAGGTCTCTTTACGCTCGTTGGCCGGAGCCTTTTGCTTATGGAGGCTGAGAAGATGAGGTTTTTCCTGGAGGACCAGGCATGCCTGTGCTGGATTTGGGTTGCAGCTCCGCTGTCCTGCACTGGAATGTTAATTAGGCGAGCCGAGCAAAAGAGAGGTGACCCGTCTGTTAACCGGGCTAACCCTTCCCCAACAGCCATGAGGGGAATTTAGACTTTCAGAAAAAAGTGTTGTCAGCAAGTGCTCGCTGTTGGACCACTCTGAATGATTAAGAGTATCTGAGTGTGTGTGTGTGTGTGTGTGTGTTTGTGTGTGAAGCACTGAAGATAAGATATTTGTGAAGCAAACACATCAGCTGGGGTTCGGCGTGCTCCTTCGAGATTGCAAAGCAGTCGACGCTCAATTTTTCTTCCGCTAAGTAGCATCACAACGGAAGAGCGATGTTTGTAGTTTGAGCAACACGGAGCATGACATTAAACTTCTGTGGTCTAAGGATTTCTAAATTTATGTTTGCAGTCAAACAACAAAGTGCTTTCAGCATCTCCAAAAAACACATAAAACAAGGAATCCATTTCCTGAGATGCCTCACGCTGTTTCCAGGCCTCATTTCCAAAGACATTTCCAGGGAGGGGAGATGTTGGAGGAAATACCCGAGGACACATTTATGTCTCAATGAACAAGACAGGGTGCTGCACTTTATCCACACGCCCATTTTGTTTACCTGTTCACCTTGTTGAGGCTGTGGTGGCAGGAGCATTTCCAAGCCGTCACGGGACGAAGCGCTTCTGGTCTGTTTACAGGAGCCAATAAGACAAAAAGCCCCGTGTCCCACCTATGGTTGGATTAGAATCGTCGGTTAACCTGACATGCTTGTATCAACTGAGATTGCAAACAGGAGCTGTCTCACTGTGAGGCGACCGCACGGATCACAGCGTCGTTGTGTCATCCTGCTGGATTTTATCGAAGACACCGAATGCAATCAACACATCCAAACATCACACGTGAAAAAATAGATTGAAGTTACCGAAAACCCTAATCTGATTTTGGCAGCATGCTGTGACACAACTGTTTGTCACACTGCAGAAACTTAACAAATACTGACCTCTGGAGGAAACTCTTTGGCTCTACAGCTCGTGCACTGGGAGCAGTCATGGGACTTAATTTAGTCTTCCACAACCGAAATCCCACAGTGTTTTCTGTGATCTTCTAGTCCTTTGGCATTATTGCATTAAAGACCTAATGAATTCTATCATGGGAATTGGTGCATGGGATCAAGGCCTTCTATCTTTTGAGCAAGAGACTGTTCAACCACAAAACTGAATCTATCACAATCTGGCGTCATAGTAGAAGGTTCTGAGTGTGGAAGCAGCCAGCCTCCACGTCAAACTTTTCACCACTGAAAAATAAAGTACATAAAAACATAAATATGAGATAAAACACAACTGTGTTTGAGCTGTCGTTTGGCTCGAGGGGGGCTCATGTATGGGGATTTGTGTCCCAGTGTGGGCGGCTCGTTGCCTTTTCCTGTGTGTATTTAACAGGTACTACTTAATATAGAGAGACCTGATCATTGCAATTTCCGAATAATTAAAAACAGATACCTTGGTTGCATGAGATATTTATTGTACGTGTAAAATTCCAGCCTACAAAGTATTATACAGATCTGATGAAGGCAGAAATAACCGCCATGGCAGCTTAGACGTGATATAACTTGAGTTTGAATAATAACGGCAAAAAAGGCGTGAAATGATTATCTTGTATAACGGAGTCTTTATATCTTTTTTCAATATTCCACATAAAAATAGCACAGAGGAGGATATTACTGTATGCGACAGCGCAGCTTTGATTAGATTATCTGGTGTATAAAACGATCAAATATCAACGATTAACATACATCTATACAATCAGCTACACAGATTTAATAAAAAAGATACAGACTGTAGTCCTTGGATGGTCTTTGTTACATTACTTGTGCTGGGATTGAAAGATGCACCATCACTGAAAAGGTTATTTTTAATGGTGTCTTAAAATCTGAACAAAAAAAAAAAGAAATAAAAGAAAAAAGGAAGTATTTCAAAAGAGCACCGTGCCAAAAATACAGTGTCGGCACCTTTTCACAACCTTAATACCAGCCCCATAACCTACACGGATAATAGTGCCTCCTGCTCGTGTTTAAAATAAATGTAATAAATAAACATATTACACAGTGTTTAAGGACCTCTGTTCAATTCATGTTCAGCGACAGGACAGTATTTAATTCAGAGTCATGACATACGGATCAGGCTGCGTGCCACAGAGAGCAGCAGCTGGATTCTGGAATAACGAATGCGATCAGTTAATTGGATGAAACCACCATGTCCAGCTCCTTCACACCGTCCTGGGTGGAGGTGAGGCCGCAGCTGCTGGAGAGGTGGCCCTCAGAGAAATGGCCGGCGGGTTTGGACGTGGCTGCCGGGGACGTGGGGGCCTGGATCAGGCCGGGCTTCTTTGGGGGAATGGGCGGAGGGTTGCCCCTGTCCACCCTGGGGACGGTGGGTGAGCGGATCCCGTGAGGTGACCCGCCCGCGGCCCTGCCGATGACCGGGGACAGAGGGGCCGCCAGGCTGCGGTAGTCCGTGCCGAACGGGGAGTTATTGGGCGTGCTGAGCTTGGCCGTGACGCTCTGCTGGACGGTGGTGAAGCGAGACAGAACCTGCGTGACCGTGCTGCGGGCCATCTGCTTGACCGGGCTGGGCTCGGGGGAGGGGCTGCCGGCCGCGGGGGGGAGGTCTCTGGGCGGGACGGGGGGCGCGGGCGGTGCGGTCTGGGGCTGCGGCTCCGGGTCGGCGGTGCCCTGGAACTTGTGGCGTGCGGCGTGGAAACGCTGGTGGATCCCGGCCTGGTACGGGGACTGGTAGCTGCCGGGGCCCGGGCTGCCGGGGGCGCGTTGGGGAAGGACGGGGGACACGCAGGGTGAGGACTGAGCGGGCGCCGGGGGAGCGTCACTGCAGGAGGACGCTGGCGTCTGATTCTCATTCCCGTTCTGCTGGGACGTGTTTCCTGGGAGGACGTCGCCTGACCTGTGAAGCCCGTCGACTTCATCTAAATGATGGTGACCATTGACTTTGGGCTGGTTGCCGTCGTCCTCCATGTCTTCAACCTTCATCTCGTCCACTAACGTCTTTCCTGGGGAAACCTTTGTGGCCCACTCTTTTCCCACTGCTTCCAATGGTGCCGGATCGGCTCCTCTCGTTTCTTTCATCGTGTACGCGTCCTCCAGCTTCCTCTCAAGTTCTTCTACCTGATTAGAAAAGACATTCTTTTTAAAGCGAATAACTAGGCTAGAGCTGGTTTTCCCCCCTTGACAAGGCCTGCTTGGAAAAGTGCCCCCCGTATTCCGCGGCGTCTCACCTGCTGCTGCAGCTGACAGCAGTGTGCTTCTTCCTTCTTGAGCCGTGAGCGGAGCTGCTCGCGCTCAGTGTCGAACTCCGCCAGCTGCTCCTCCACCCTCGCTTCCATCCTCAGAGCTCTCGCCCGCTCGTCCTCCAGCTCCTTTCTCAGGGCCTGACAGGCTTCTTTTTCCTAAATGAGAAGTGATCTCTTGAGCCACAGAGGATTTGATAACTGGGCCTAAGACATATAGCCGTATAATCCAGACTCGTGTGCCAAAAGGGTGTGAGGACACGTTGCCCGACTTGGACTGGAAATGTAAGTACCTTGTCAAGTCTGCGGCTCAGCTCAGTCAGCCGGTGACCCTCCTCCAGAGCCCTGGCGCTCGCCCACTTGCACTCTTTGGCCAAAGCGCAGGAGAACTGTTTGTGCTGAGCCCGTTCCTCCTCAATCTGCTCGGTTACCCGCCGCTGCTCTCTTTCCAGCCGGCGGACTTGGCTCCGCTCGAATTCCAGCTGCGCGCGCAGACAACGGACATACAGTCGTTTTTTACGTGCCGCGGTCGTGCGGGCCCCCTTTTCGGTGACATCTCCGTTGTGGCTGTTTACCTGCTGCTGCAGACGCTCCTTCTCCTTCTCCAGGATATAGGTGACGTCGTCTCCCTCGGCCGTGTCCTCGGCATGCCTCCTCTTCTCCTCCTCCAGGTCTGCAATAACCTAAAACCAACGAAGCAAGGACGCTGAGTCTTGGGAGGAAAGCCACCTCAGATTGGACAGCGACTAGCGGAAGAGGGTAATGGTGGTTATCCTGAAGCAGGAAGATTAAACCTCGAAAAGCCACAAAACTGTTCAGTCACACCCAGATATCGAAATGCTTTGCTTGCTGAGGCTCCTCAGTAACTCCTGCTACCCTTTAAACTGTCACCTGTATGGATGTCTTCATATTTAGACATACCTTAATGGAAGCCTATAAAAGCAATGTAATGTAATAAAAAGAACATATTGAACTATATACAACAAGAAAAAATGTAAATGTTACAACATTGTACAGGTATCTTTTCATCCAGTGTCCTTGCAACTGTGTGTTCTTCAATGCGAAAGTTATTTTTAATCAGTTATTCTGCTGTTGCTAAAAGAAAAGTAGACAAAAGTTTGTGTTGACGGAGACAACGTGAAGGAAATTCTGCTTAGGAAAACCCAGAGGGAGTCTGACAGATATGGGCAATAGAAAAGCACATTTTCTACAAATAAAACAACTGAAACCCCAATAATGTTTGTAAATGTGTCAATTGAATAGGAAGAAATTGGAATCAAGCTGCCCCTTTGTGAATGGTTGTTTATCGCACAGCTGATCAGATTAGAACATGTGAGATGTGTTGGAGTTGTTGGCAAACATTCAGTTGGGAAATACAATAGATATTTTACGGCTGGTAAGTGTTGGGCTTTTCACTCATTTTTTTACATCCTGGCAGAAAATGTGTGACAATATCAACAAATTTCTGATTCAGCAGCGACATGAAAGCGTTGAGTTATAGTGGCATGCAAATAAAAACTGAGTGTGTAGCATCCCTCCACTGTGGCCACAGTCTGAGCGCCTGACCCAAACAAGCATCACGCACAACCCCACTTCAAACAAAGAAAAACAATACCCTAAACTCATTTCTTTTTCATCTGCTGTTGCCAGCAGAGCAGCTTTCTTTTTAAAAATCCATACTGCCCTCACCTCCTACACTCATCTGGCCATGCTCACTTTCATCTTTTGCTGCCTAATTGATTTTTTTTCCCAAGCAAAGACTACAAACATCTCATTTCACAGTTCCTGGCAGAGCTCCGCAAGTCCCGGCTCACCCGTCTGTGCCTGCTCTCGGCTGCCGCCAGCTGGGCCAGCATCTTCTCCTGCATCCTCCTGCAGTGGCTCACCACCATCTTGAGCACCACCAGCGGGTTGGACGTGGCGGACGAACAGGCGGGTTCCTTGTTCTGGCCCCCGACGGCCTCGCTGTCTCTCTGCAAAGCCTGAAAGGGATCGCTGAGGTTGTATCTTCCGTAGCGCTCCTGGATTAGCAGCCCTTTATGCTGGGCCTGGAGAGATGAAAAGACAGGAATTTAAATTCAGCTTGTGATTGGACTCTTGGATTCAGTTTTCTCTAACTTGATGCATCTCAGCATTGGCCGATTCTTACTCCTGCATATACTTAAAAAAAAAATATATATATATATTTTTTTATACATTGCATATACATTTTAAAAGTGATCTTTTTTGTCGTGTTAAATCACTGACATCTATCCGGTGAACTGCACATAAAGTGGATACAAACAAGTAAAATGTTTATCTTATTTCCAACTGACTCTGGTGAAGCCTTCCCTTGTTCTCCAGCACCACCCTGTGGCTGATGTCATTCCAGTCCCCCTGCACTTTGCTTTCAAAGTAGAAAACCTCTTAGATTTTAATCGTATATATTATTTCCACTTGATACACTAATATGTATCAAGTGTTAGTGTTATGTGTATCCAGTGTGTGTTCTGTGTAATGTGTGCTGTGCTGAAAATAGGTTCTGAGCTCATACTTCCTCCATGCCTAAAAATAGCCAAAGAGATGCTGACTAGACTTTAAAATCTCTACGTTCCTTCCTCAAACTCAAAAATTTCTCAATGTAACACCAGTGTGTGAAGTGTATTGGACCTGAAAATGTGATGAGGTTCGATAATGCTGATCGCTTGTCTGGCACTGGAGAAGCACAGGAAATTAAACACTATCTTGGAAAGCACGATCTCTATCTTAAATAAAAGAACAGTAAATAAGCAGCTGATAAGGGATGAGAGGAAATGCATGGAAAACGATGAGAAACGGAGCACAGGCTGAGCAACAGATGGTGTCTGTCTATCTATCTTTAGCAGGGCAGCTGCTCTAGACTGGACCTTGGCCAGACGAGACCTGTTCTCTGTTTAAGTCAGGACAAAAGTGGGATCATGGCAGCAAGACATTTCAGGTTCAGAAAACGCCTTTAGGCCTGGTGGGAAAAAGGGACTGAAGTGTGAAAGAAAGGAGAGAAAGATGGAGGGGGGCTGTAGCCGAGCTGTGTTCGGTGAGGTCTCAACAAAAGAGGATCAACAGATTAGAGAGAACAGCATCCTCTTTGACAGGGTGAGGACGGAGCTTCTGATGACTGATACCTCGATTGCTTGAGAAGTTTAAAGTGTTGTCACGAGTGTGGAGAGGCCTGTGGCATCATGCCATCTCTAGGAGTGGGTTCACTCACTACTGCAAACACTTTTCTCTTAAATATAGTTATTTTCTCTTATTCTAATTCCTCTGCCTGTATGAGGAAGCTATGGGAGATATCTTACACCAATTTTACCCCAAGCTTTGACGTCCTTACTTTAATCTACTTAGGTAATGAAAATCGCCTCAAGGGTTTCAGAGGCACTAAAACCCTTGATGTCTGTAAAAATAAATGCAGGGTGTAATATATTTTCTATTCAAAATAAACAAGAATGCGAAGCAGGATATAATGTGGACCTGTTATCAAGGCAGAAACACTCTGATTAACACTCTGATGCATATTAGTGCATCCATTAATATCATGAAGAGAAAGATTTATTTAAATTTTTCCCAAGCGGCACAAAATCAATTAAAAAAAGCAAGAGTTTTTCAGACATCCTGATATGACTGAAATTACACATGCAAAGACAGATTAATGCTATGCACATGGGAAAAAAAACACTTGCTATGAGCCTTTATGATAATGACTTTAACGTGATAGGACTTGAAAGGTTTAATTAAATTTCAAATACTATCACAAAATATAGAAAAACTGTCTAAAACCATGTGTTTTACTGGAAAATACTGGCTGGAATCATGAATGAGTATAAATAAAAAAATCCTATGTTCACAAGACGTCATAGGCTTTGTAATTTGCATCTTTTTGCATCTTCAGTCTTGGTTTATCTGACACAAAGAGAGGAGGACTGGGCTGCGAGGCCTTGCTGCTGTTATTTGATCCAGTCTGCTGAGGACAGTGTGAAGGCACATCAAACGGCAGAGACGGGTGAAGCAGGAAGGCACAGAGTCCCCAGGAGTATTCAAAAATGCCTCTTAAATAAGATGATTGAAAGCCACATGACCGCTCAGTAACTGACTCCTGTGCAGGACGTCTACAGTAGCTGCCTGTGTCAGAGCACAGCCTCAGTTTATTCAGAATAAAATCATTTGGGCCAACACGTGGCTAAAAATAGTAAACTCTGGAAAAAAAACTAACTTTGATGGAGAAAAAAAACTTTGATTAAATTAAAGAAAAAACTGGGAAAGAATCTGTCCACAATCTTGGCCTGGAGCCCCCCACTTGTTCCCAGCAGTGACAGTCTACTCTTTCTTGTCAGTCTCTAATCAATGGTTTTGAAAAAAAAATAGAAAAATAGATCAGACTTTCCATTCTTGATGGCTAAGATAAACAAAACAAAAAACACCAGCAGGAACCAGCAAATAAAAGGTGCTATACAGAAGTGACTGTTTTTTTGACCAGCAGCAGTACAAATGTCAGACTGAAGTGTGCACAAAAGCTCAGAGAGGCACAGCTGGGTCAGTGGACACTTTTTCATCCAACAGCGGTGGTTTGAAGGAAAATCTCTGTTGCAAAGCATATTTCACTTTCCTATGTTTCTTTCAACTGTGAATTATTTCCCTTGTCATTTCTATTTACTCAGTTAGCTCCCATCACACATTAAGAGACCTATTTCTCCTTAATTATCAGGATTTTTTCAAATGCAGAGGGAGCCTGCGGCACAAATATGCCGTCTTTGACACACACTGAGCTACTCTTCTCCCCTTCTCAGTCCTCTCCCCTACCCTTCAATGCACAAATAGATGGGCTGTTTCCCAACACAAAGGGAGGCTGTTTTCCTCTGCATCAATCCTCCACTGTTGCAAAGAGAAGATCAGGCGGTGAAAAGAGGGATTTCAGGAAACATTTCTTAAGCTACTTAACGTTTAACACCCAAATGTACCGGGACTCATTCATGACATCATACTGTACATGCACAACTCCCATAACCATTCAGCGCACGGCTGCAGTGAATCACAGTCTAGCCTCATTATTCATTCCTTTGTCGGTTGGCTTCAGTTCTTGGGAACCTGTTCGCTTTTGAATGGGAAGCTACGCTTGTGCTGCCTCAACTTAATCTTCTGCAGACACATGTTAGGAGTCTTCCATAGGTGCAACGCTGCTGACAAGATCTTTGTGATACAGAGAGAGGGGGACAACTTCAGGTCTTACTCTGGAGTAAGCTGCTTTGTCCGTGCAACATGCTCATGCATGTCATTATTTGTCTTTATGCTACAGAAAGGCATACGTGGAAAGCACAATCCAACCACCACTGCTTACGTTTTATTCTTGACTGACACAGAATGAAATCAGCAGATGCGTCCGATCCTGGAGACAAATTGACCCTTCTCCCCTCAGAGCGGCCAGTTAACCAAACAGAAGGTAAAGCTGTTTGAAGTAGCTCCATTTGGAAGCTCTAGTCAACTAAAACAAGCGAGGTTCCAAGTTAATTAAAGGCTCATTACCATATACGAGCTCCTTTTGAACTTAAAGTAAAGACTTCTCTTCCATCCCGAAAACCAAGGAGACGACTGGATCACTTAAGAGCTTTGTGTGCCAAATATAAGAGCTGCCAAAGACCGACTTCCTTTTGAAAGCCACAGTGTGAGCAGCTGCAGAAGTGAGTCACGAGGGGAAAAATGAAGCAGATAGTTAGAATGCCACTGATAGTTCTGCATAATTACAGCAATACTAAAAAAAAAAGCACACAGTTAATCTCACATCCTGTATTTCTTTTATCTTGTAGATAATCTCTAATGTGAATGTGCAGATGAAGCAAAAGAAAAATAGTTTTGTGCATATCTACTACTTTAGTGAAATAAATCATGGTGATATGTGTGTGAGTTAAGCATGACTCAGTGACACATCGGTTAATTTTGACAGGGGTGTCATGACTGAACCCACTTCTCCACCTGAACATTAAGGATAAAAGAAAAAGGGCAGTGGGGAATTTTTTATGTAAATTCCTGTGTTTAAAAATCCATGGCGCGCCCTGGGGCTGAAATACAACTGCTCACAACTTTGGTTTCCTGGACGGCACCAGGTTAGCTTTACAGCCCCTTGACATCTCTGTGATCTCTTCCTCTGTGCCAGATTTAGCCACCATGCAGTCCATCATGGGAGCATGCATCAGAGGTTAAGTCAGGGATTAACTTCGGGAAAATCAGATAATCATCCTCATGCACGGGATGTTGCATTTAGCTGAACTCCTCAAAACAGCAGTCAGGACTAAACTAAATGACAAACGCAGAATGCTGCCATTTACATATCTGCGCTGCATCTCCGAGAACATCAAAGTTATAGGCTAAGACTCCACATTATCAATCCTATAATGGCAGAACTACAGAAAGATATGAGCTTCATTCACTGTGCATGACTGGATTTAAAAGTAATGCGACAGATATGCCTCAAAAAAGAGTTTCTTCAGCCTTAGGTGAAGAAACTGAATGAATGGGTTAACAGTTTGAGCAAAAGGAACCATGAAAGAAGCCCAGCCATATTCCCCTCAAGCTCCAGTTAAGGCCAGTGTTTATTTATTCACTCCTACTCTCTTACATTGAGTCATCAGTCTCCCAGTGTGCTGTAACTCTTCTTGCCTTAGATGGCCAGATCACTGGGGAAATGAAGGAATGTGGTCTAGACACAACACATGAGCACTGAGCAGCAGACTCTGTAGTCTCTCCAGTTTGTTCTCTCAGTGGCGCATTTTACATCAAGACACCGAGTAGCATTCCAGGAGCATAATGACTATAAAGGTCATGTGTTAATGGAGAGAAGAAAGTCTGGAGAGTTGTTTAAATGTTACGGTCGTGTTCTGCTGAGCTGTTGCATAATTAACTTGTTTGCCATTGCGGTTTATTGTCAAAGTAATGGGGTCCTTCTTTATTCTACCATTGCTTTTAAAAAAAAGGCAAAACATTCTCAGGGCAAAGTAAAAATGCGTATTTAGGATTATTCCAGTAGTGCTATAAAAACATGGCACTGAGGCTCTCGTGGGGGAGAACATTGTAATAATCCGAGATAAGATTCATAAGATTTTCAAACTTATCACATCAGTCTGTGATCCTTTTTTCCTGATAGAGAAAGGCTCTGATTCTGAAAGAAACCCCTCCCATCAAGTTTAAGATGATCATCATACGATGATGGTGGTCATTGATCTGTGGGAAATTACCCACCAATAAATATATTCAAATAAAAAACATATGAGGTTCTCAGTCCTGGAGGGGCTGGTTTTAAATCTTGCAAAACTAGGATTTTTAAAAAAGGAAAGCAAATCGAAACCGTGGCAGCAAAGTGCCTGCAGCCTGACAGAAACGTTCAGTCTGCTAACTGCGTGGGTCAAGTATTCACATTTCTCTCCAGAAATGTCTGTGTTTACTCTCCATCACACTCAAATGCTTAAAAGCCTAAGAGTCCAAATTGTTGTAATGCTCCACAAGGGTACAAACAACACATCACAGGTAAATATATCACGCTACAATGAGTGGGAAACTTAACTCATGCACACGAGTAAATAGACGGGGTCAGCTCAACCACAGCCATTTTTTCAACCAGGTGTTTGTGAGTGTTTTATGTAAAACCAGATTTTATGCAGAAAGCTACCTCAGTGTGACAGCTATGAGCCCTGCTGTGGTTACTGGTACCTTTAGTGCTTCAATGACAAGGTCCCGCGCCTCCAGCTCTCCCTCCAGGATGCTGAAAAGCATCAGTAACTCCGACTTGGTCAGATTCTCCATGTTCATCTTGGACTGTGAGAGAAACAGACAGAAAGACAAATGTTGCTTTATGTGTTAACATCTGCTCTTTGAATAATCCTATCTACAAGATTATGAATGAAAAAACAGGAAACAGAAACTTCATGGGTTTTTGCCACAACTATTCAACAATTTCCTAGGTATCTAATTTTCATTTGGAAACAAAGCCAAATGTTTTCCAATTCATTCTTAACAGATATCTTGACAGACATCTAATCTCACCCACTGATTTATGAGTTTTCTGTGGATGCGTGGTTATTATCTTAGTAGGGAGTCTTTTTTTGCTTCGAAAACAACTGCGTCTTTTGGAGTTTAGTTTAGAGGCACACTGAACGACATTTCTGGCAAAAAAACAAAAACAAATATGCAGCAGCCCAACTGACAAGGAGGTTTCTCATTTAGGCTGGCTGCTACACACATGGCATTAGTTCAAGCCGGCATGTTGATGAGGTGCAGACAGATGTGATCCGAACCAGTAAAAACACTGACTGCTGATGTGCCTCTCCACTACCTTTTTTGTTTTGAGGAAAGTTCCAATGCTAATGGCCGCTGTGACAGTTATTTTGTGTTGGGAATGAAATGTGGTTCCTTTGTAGTGTCTGTGCGCTCTAATCTCACAGCTGTGCCGGTTCTGCTGACAAGCCCTGCGGTGTCCACATCTCAAACACCCGAGTGCACTCTGCCCATCTCAACATATGCAAGCCTTTCTTTGAAATAAGATCAAAGCTGTTGATGTTACACTAAACGTCCCTTTCAGACGAGATTCGTCATGCGGGACTTGCACAACAGATCACCACCGCACTCAATGACGACTTAATAACACACTTTTTCTCACGCCTGAATGGAAGAAATACTGTTTATGTCGCTGATTTGTTCGATAAATCTCCCTCAGTGCTGTGGGGATGAGATCCACACCTGAATTGGCTGTTCACTCGGGGGGGGGGGGGCTGCTCCCCGGGCACTTGTGGTCACCCCAGTCTTCCACATCATGAAGTAATCAGAGGAGGAAGGGCTGATTTACTTGAGTCAGAGTCACATCATGGAATACGGGAATCTTTGGCATCTCTTAGCAAGAGACTGCAACATTTTCTAAACGTCTTCAGCGGCGTAGAATTAGCAGAAATTGGAATGTTGTGACAAACTGAGCAGCAGCAACCTCTCACAGGCAAAGCAGTGATGGTCTGTGGGCTAACCACAGGAGTAAAATGTTAATTAGACTGCAGCGTACATGTCTGCCTGGGTTTTGGTTTACAGGCTGGCTCACTAATTTCACAGGCCACCGTAATCACTGCGAGAAGTGAGCGCACTGTATGTGAGAACTGTCCGGACCTGTTGGAGCCGACATGTGTCATCATGCGTGTTTAGATCCTCGTTTTAACGACCTCCCATGTAATCACTTAAAATGAAGCGAGTAACCGTGAGGGCCCACAAACACAGCACGATAGCATGGGAAATACAAATATTCCCACATGTTCTCTGAGCTCCTCTTCCGATGACGAAAGCCCCGCGATCATAATCCTTTTATCCGTGTTTGTTTTAAGCCTGGTCGGCCATGTGCCTCATCTGCAACACTGTAAACTCATTATAAACACACAGCGGCTTTGACTGCAAAAAGCATATGCTTTGCTCCGGAACAAAGAGGCTCTGGCTTTTCCGAGAAGCTGCTTGTGACTTGTTTAATGTATGTGGCCTGAAAATCCCTCCTTCACCTTAATCCTAACAAAAGTCCATTAAAGATTCATCACTTTTTTTTTTCTTTCTTTAGTGCCAGAACAGATTCTGGGCTCTTATGTACATGCTGAAATACAGAACCATACAGACTTTCAAATAAGGTATATTTGCACACACACATGGAATCAGGACAGCGTGGTCCAGTTCAGCCAAGTGTCTTGTCCCTCTCACTCTGAGAATATCTTCCAAAACTTCAGAGAAAGAAGAAAAAAGCACACCACTGACCCATGACTGAATGGTTAAACTCAATAGTCTGTGCACCTACAAACTCTGCCATTACATGAGGGTCAACTGAGGGGAAGCCCAGTCTGAGAGATCTGCTGAATTTCCTTCTTGGCTTACCAGATGCAGCATGTCTGGATTCTAAATTGGATTTATTAGCCAACCCCGTTTTTCTATATGGGCCATATGCTTCCCCGCTAAACGCCCAACCTACTTTGATGCGGCTCACTTGTGAAATAAACTCGACAAAATACGACAAGAAGCGGCTGGTGGTTGATGGGAAGTTGGTTCATTTTGAAGTTAAAAAAGGGCTATTAACAACTGGAACCACTGCAGAGGACTCTGCGCTGTCACGAATACCAGGCGTTAAACTACAGGGGGAAATATATAACCACCTAAAAAGGTTGTATAGTGAAGCTACATTTAGCTATTTGGACGACCAAACGGCAATTTAACGTGATTTTTTCCAGCAGTTTGGCCTGTAGCTTTGACCACTTTAGGTACTTTTCTTCTTTCTTCTCTTCTTTGGACCAAACACGATGATACGCCGCAAAGTATCCTCAACAGTTTCATATAAAGTAAATATTAGAATGTTTTAAGATGGTCTCCTTACCTTCATGTGGCCCTCAAAAGAATTTCAGAACTCCGGCATGAACTTTTCTTCTGTCAAGAGATTTGTTTCACTTGATTTGCGTCTTCTGATCCCGAAGCAGCGGAACAGCGAAGAGCCAAGTAAAGCACAGAAGGACAGCTCAGCCAGCCAATAGGCGATAAGCAGGTAGCAGTATTGACCAATCATACGTGAGATTACAGGGAGATGGGTAGAGACAGTGAAGTCCCTCCCGTTGAGCTTTGGTTGGACTTCTTTGTTTAGGGTTTCTAGAGTTCCTCACTCCAGCATTTTCTTATGAAGCTTATTTCAGCCTTGAGCGCTATCCCAGAAACAGTTCAGGTGTTAACATATTAATGTCACGGTTTATCTCAGGTTTTTTATGTTTTCTTTGATGTATTTCAAACGAATTCTTAGAATCGCCTGACACTTTATTTTGTATTATGATTCATGGCATCATCATCAGATGCTAATGTTTTTCGGTCACAAAAAAGTCCTTTAATAATGTTGAATATTTAACAATATAACTAAGCTAAAAACGTGATTTCTAAAGACTTCCGTTTGGTATATGCAATACATCTTAAAGACATTTGAAGACCATCAAATATCTGAAAGTATCCATGTGAAAGACATCAAAATTGTTCCCTGGCAAAGTAAAAAGTGAAGGTGTTTTGATGCCCTTTGGATCTTACTCTGAAGACCACACGCACAAATGCAATCTATTCCCATCATTTTTTATACTAACGTCCAAAGTCTATGTAAAAATAGATTAATCAATGATTGAATGAATGAATAGATACTTTATTATCACATGTATATGTCAAATATCCATAAATCATGCTGTTTTACAGTGACAGTTTAAAAGGATGCATGAAACGTTCTGAATGTCATCTTATTAAGCTTTTGTTGACCTCTAATATGGCTTAATCCAACTTTACTTATAATTTCAGCCAAGGCATCCGAGGTATTGATTCTTGGATATGTTGGATTGCAGTATTATTGACTGCCACCTGGTGGGGAGACTCTGCAAAGCTGTGGCAAACATGACTGACCGTTGAAGTTTGGTTTGAAATGTCAGTATATTACTCAAGTCACCAAGGAAATCAAACATGTTTCAGGTTGTTTGTTAACAAATATTTCAACCAGCTTCCAACGACAAAGAAAAAAAAAGTACAAAAAGCAAATTCAGACTGATTTTAGTTTAAATAACTTTCAACAGTTTAAATAACCCTGTGCTCTCTCGAGACACTCCTGGATCTCATTAGCAACTCCCAGGAGCGTGTACACAGCATGATACAGCTGTGTTGCTTCTCGTGTTGTTGTCAGCAAGAGATCCAGGCATGACAAAAACCAGATGAGGTATGCATTGTGCTGTCGACCAGAAGATTTAAGGTTGTGTCGGCGGCGTGCAGGAGCTCTTTCTGCAATTCAAAACAGCTGCCAGCAGGGTGCAATGCTCACACAACGCAGCCAGAGTCATTCTTGGGGTCACTGGAGCTTTTATTAACCAGCACATAGGCGGAACACACAGGATTTTCACTATAGTTGTAGTAGAGCGGATAATCACTGCTGCTGTCAAAAGTTCTTTCTGCTCATAAACTCCTATGAGCATCAGCCTGTTCTCAAATGATAGTTTAAGATGTAACACAACAGAGTTGTGCCGGAAAACAACAGAACACAAATAAACTCCAGCATTGCCATTTGCCTTGAACATTTAATACACAACACACACAAAAGAGCACTGCATCTATACAGAATCTTTTAGTTATTTTTTCATAATTGTGTCCTTTTTTTCCCCTCTATCTGCTGTCTTGAGGGTATATGGAGAGCAAATTCAGAGAAATGTTTCTCCTGATAGGTCGCTGGTGTATGGAGCCACTCCAGCACTAATAGACAGTCTATTTCAGGCTGCTCAATTAAGTTCCTCTGTTCAGCCTGCTGACTGGCTGCTGTGGAGAATCTGTGTCCTCAGAGTCACTGTCCCCTGTCCTTGTCTCCCTTTAGAAAGAAAAATTATACCGCATTTTTAAAAACGTTGATTAGTTTGACTAGTCAGCGCAATTTCTGTCAATGACTTTTGCAAGCAGCTAGATATCCAAACTTCTGTCTTGAACAATAGTCCTCCAATTCTGAGGATCTTTAATATCTTTGATGGCTTTGAGTGACTTTCACTGATTAGCAACATGACCCAAGACATACTGAAACACAAAAAGAGCATAATTCAAAAGGAACACGTTTAAAGTCTTGACAAAACAGACACTTATCAACTGATCTAATTTTTCTAATATATTTTCAGACATAATTCTTTTGAGATTAGATTGAAGCAGGCTACTGATTTTGTAGACAAAACTATGAGGCTAATTATTATTATTTTTAATTCAACCTGTTTAACCATTTGATTACTATAATGCTAAAAGACAACCAAGTCAGTGTCATCAACTAGAATTATTTGGAGTTACAAATGCCATCTCAGAGCTTTGAAAGTTGTGGTCAATGAAAAAGTCTCAAACTTTATATTTTATCAAACAACAATACACCTGACTATGAAAAACTTCAAAATAATATCACTCCAAAATGGAAGAAAATCAAATCTCAACTGTTCCTTCTTTAACTGATTTACGACATAGTCTAAAACTAAGAACAAAATAAAGATTTCATCAAACACATGGCGCTCCACTAGGGAGAACAGAACAAAAACCTGAATATACAATAGAATCACTCCAGGGGAGGACAAACAATGTCTTCTAGATCTGAACTACAAAAAAAAAAATTTTTTTGAAACATTTACCAAAACAAAATGACTTTTAGGAGGTGCTCTTTTGGCGACAAGCAAGGCAAACTGTGATGAAGAACAAAGGCTCTGGCTTGAAGGACAGCAGGACAAAACACAGCGAAACACAACGAAACACACTGGCACACGACAAGGGAAACACAGACTATTTCAACCCCCATGAGGGAAGGGAACCCCGGGTGAACATAGTCAGTGATTAGGGGAGACAATCTGACAGGTCACACACAGGGAAGTGCAAGTGACCTGAAATGACAGGAGACTTACTTTTCAAAATAAAACAGGAAATGACAAGGCCAAGACATGCCAAAAAAACACCAAAGACCTCGAGGCGTGACATTTGTACGCTTTTAAAATGCAATATTTTCCATTTTCAGTCAGGTTGCTTTTTTTTTTTACTCTTTCTTTTCCACTTGATACAGTCTTCATTATTCCACTTTCAAGGACTTTTGAATGCATCTCCAAACAGACCATTGGCATTGAGCTCAGCACCACAGGAACGTCATTACAAAAGGACATTTTAACTTTGAATACTACCAGCTTTGTCGAGGATCATTGCTTCTTTAACTGTGTTAGTTTCAGTTTCCATTATAGGGACATATTTCAAAAGTTCCATCACAACAGTAACAACACTATGAACCCCTGACATCTGTGGCTGTCTGTTTGTATCATGAATGAATACTCCACTAAACTTCAATATCTCTTACTTGTGCAGTATTACTCCTTATTAATGCAGTTTTTTAAATTAATACTTCATCTTTATTTCACACCTGGCACCCCATCATAGAAGCCAGACACAACGGAGAGATGATAGTGACACAGACATGATCAGAAGAGGGACAGAAAGAGGTAACAGTAAATATAGACTTGGCAGCAGCCAGCCACAATCTAGGACCTAATCTGAAGCGGTTATCAGCATCTGTTGCCTGGCACCCGCTTCTGTGGGGGTTTTAGTTATTCATGTATTGCTCCATATCTGTCACTTTTCGTGCATTTGATTTCCCGGCATATAAGATGTATTCAGGGGAGTGAAGAGTTTTAGCCTCTCAATACCCCCTACGTCAGTCAGTCTCTCAGTCACTCGGTACAACGGGTCTTCATCGCTCCGCTCACCTGATTGCATGATGAGATTAGGGTTTGGAAATTGATTTGTTTTGCCAATGTGTTGAATATAGTACATGCAAATTGTCTGAGTGTCTGACCTTGAAGCGGTCCTGATTAATCATTTGCATATCTCCAGAGTTGTTATGTGTCTTCAAGCAGCCGACTCCTGCCAATGCCACCGGTCTGTATCTTTTTTAGTGGTGTGGCAGCAGGTGGATGCGAAAGGTAATATCCTACAGTTGTTTGGTAGTTTTGTCATTTTCATTTATGTTTGTTGTCAACTTCAGACCGCTGAAACTTCCAGTTCGCACGTTATTCAAGTCTATGTTGTCCTCATCTTCTTAAAGATGAATATGCTTTTTGTGCGGATTCTCCCAAAAATCTAATACCCAATCTGTTTTATGACTGAAGCAAGAAAGTGGTCTCTGAGCACAGAAAAACAACAGGCCACTTGAGGATAAGCTGACGGGGGGAAAAAAGAGCCCACCACAAATCATACACTCAGAGGAGAAGAAAGGAAAAACTGTGGCTGTTTGATGTGGTCAGCTTTTTGACAAAGGTCCTCTGGCTTCAGAAATGTGTTATAAACTAATACAAAGACTATGGGTGTTGTTTTTTTTCCTGTCTGTGAACTGAATGCACCATAGCTCATTTTCCTGAGGTTCAGGTGGTTTCTGAAAACTTTGCCAGTTGGCTTAATTCAACTGTCTCCCTTCTGAAAACAGTTGCATTTTACCAAATTTTCTGGATCAATACACTTTCAAAAAAACATTAGCAATATCACTCTTGCAGACAACTCCTAAAATTGTCCTAAGGCATAAACGGAAAAGGCTAGTGGTAACATTTTTGTATATTTCTTTTTTCTATCGTTAAATTAAACCAAAATGATTGGCTGAAATGCTTTTTCAATAAATTAGGACACATTATAAACTCTGTATATCTCTGTTAGAAGAGGTGGACTGTTTATCCAGACAACCATCCAGGCTTAAAGCACTATATAACCAATTATGAATGTTAATTTAATCACATAATGGCTCCTACACTTTCAGAACACACTCATTCCTTCTGTCTTCTCCTCTGTAACAGGTATGCAGTGTGAATGTTAATGAATGGAGCTGGAGTACAGTCCTTTTAATCCATTTCAGCTAATTCTTTTTGTGGCTCATGGAAAATGATCTTCAACAGATTAAATGTAATAATTCAAAGGAGAGCGCATGGAT